CATAGACCTGTGGTTTGAACTTTGCAGTGGTGCTGGAGATGTTACAACAGTTCCTAACTTTGTTGTGTGTTGAAAGGATGCCATGTTACAAGGGCTTTGCTCGGTCAAGCCTATGTAGACCTATGCAAGATAGTTGTCAGAGGGGAGCATCTGATGAAGCTGCTTCTTCACGGGACACGGTTCTCTTGAATGCAACTTGACAGCACATTAGGCGTTTGATAGCCAGTCTCTCTTCTCCAGGGACACCTGAAAATGGCATACCCTCCAAGTGTCGCAATATTCCAGGGACAGTCCGAGAATTATGAAAGCCACCCCGGCTTCTAATTTGGTCCTGGAATGTCCCGATTTCCCCTGCCAGTGCTGCTGCCACTGAACTTGGGGTGGAGGATGAAGAGAAGAAGAGGAGTTTGGATTTGATATCCCCCTTTATCACTATCCGAAGGAGTCTCAAAGCTGCTAACAACCTCCTTTCCCTTCCTCCCCCACAACAAACACTCTGTGAGGTGAGTGGGGCTGAGAGACTTCAAAGAAGTGTGACTGGCCCAAGGTCACCTAGCAGCTGCGTGTGGAGGAGCGGAGACACGAACCCAGTTCACCAGATTACGAGTCTACAGCTCTTAACCACTACACCACACTGGCTCTGAATGATGATGATGAAGGATGAGCCAGTACTTGTCTTGAGCAGCAACAGTGAGAGCATCCTGTTGCCTCTACATGGCTGCTGTTCCTGGTTTCCTCCTTTGGGCAGCTTGTAGGTGAGGAGAAGCTGCCACAGCCAAGGCCCAGCCCCACATGATGGGGCAGGCAGATGGCAGGGCCACCCTGAGAATAAAGAGGGAGCTGAGTGAAAGAATCTTTTATTTTATTTTATTTTAAAAAAATACTTTTTATGTCCACGTCTAATCATTCCCCCTTCTTATTGAAATGTATTTTTCTTTTTGTAAATCTAACAAAGAATAAAATAAAATAGGAATTAAGGGCTTTTCTCAGGACAGCGGAAGGAGTGTGTCCTCTTGGTATCATGGTGGCAGCATTCGGTAGTGGCGCCCGCCCTGTGGAACGCCCTTCCACCAGATGTCAAAGAGGAAAATAACTACCAACTTTTAGAAGACATCTGAAGGCAGCCCTGTTTAGGGAAGCTTTTAATGTTTAATAGGTTATTGTGTTTTAGTGTTTTGTTGGAAGCCGCCCAGAGTGGCTGGGGGGGACCCAGCCAGATGGGCAGGGTATAAATAATAAATTATTATTATTACTATTATTCGCCCTTCTTCTGATAGGAAATGCTTGGAGGGGAGGGAATAGGGAGTGTCGAGGAGAGTCAGTTGTGGGGGAGTGAGAAATGTCCCTCTTTTCATCTGAGGAATATTGGAGGGTATGGAAAGGTAGTTCAGGGTAGGTGGGCTGGAGTTTCAAGGAGAGTCATAGGAGCCAATTGAGGGGGGCCCTGGTTGCTCCAACCCCCCACAATATTATCCATGAAGGGGCCGAGCACCCACATTTTTTTGAGTCAGGGCCACACGTCATGGGGGCTGGCACATGTGACATCAACACGCCTGCTGACATGCGCACCTGACACTGCAGGGTGTGCTGACATCACGCACACATGCTGATGTCAGATGCATATGTGCATGTGGTGTGCGTGGCCCCAGGCACCCACGGTCCCAGGGCCAAGCCGGTGGGCCTGAAAAGGGTTCTCAGCCAAACTACCTTCTGATCCCACAACAGTACCCTTGAGTTCTGTTTTGATGTCCAAATGCAGGCAGCTGTTAAAGTGGGAGTCTATCACTGAAGTTCTGCATAGCTCTTTAGGTAAGTGCTATATTCCCCATTGAGGGACGCGGGTGGCGCTGTGGGTAAAAGCCTCAGCGCCTAGGGCTTGCCGATTGAAAGGATCGAATCCCCGCGGCGGGGTGCGCTCCCGTTGCTCGGTCCCAGCGCCTGCCAACCTAGCAGTTCGAAAGCACCCCCGGGTGCAAGTAGATAAATAGGGACCGCTTACTAGCGGGAAGGTAAACGACGTTTCTGTGTGCGGCTCTGGCTCGCCAGAGCAGCGATGTCATGCTGGCCACGTGACCCGGAAGTGTCTGCGGACAGCGCTGGCCCCCGGCCTCTTGAGTGAGATGGGCGCACAACCCTAGAGTCTGTCAAGACTGGCCCGTACGGGCAGGGGTACCTTTACCTTTACCTTTATATTCCCCATTAGAATATTCCTCCCCCCCTGCAAAGGCAAACACGGACAGTGCATCACAGTCCCAGCCATAGCAATATCTGGCCCTCTCCAAATGTGAATTGTCTTTGCTTTATTATTTTTGTTTTATTCCTACAGTAGTGCTTTAGTGCAAAAATGAAATTATTTTTTAAAAAAGAAAGAAAGCAAACAATAGGTGGGAAATAAATAAATAAATAAATAAATAAATAAATAGGGAAAGGACCATTTATAGGGCATGCAATGATACAGCTGCAAGATAAATCAAGTTAAAATGCTACTAAGTCACCTGTTTGGCAGGAAAGTATTGAATCTAGCTCTGTATCAAAAGAGTTTTGTATATTTTAACCTTTTTTTAAAGTCTTCATGGATTAAAAAAACAAGTAACGGTAGCAGTAGAGTCAGGAAATGCAGGTGAGCCCATCACCAGTTGTGTTCTGAATCACTCTTTTGTTCTAGCTGATGTTAAAGGGGTGGGATAAAAATATATAAATGACCCATATCTGGTTTGACTGTAGGATGGCTCTAGTTCTATTCGTGGGACACTCTGCTGCAAGCAGAGAAGTGATTTCCATCCTTCTTTCTATGCGTGGCACCTTCCTAAAAAGAGAATTGGAGGATCTTCTGAAACAAAAAGGGAAGTGATGTGGGGGAGTGTTTGTGTGCATATAAAAACGGGTGAAAATTACCTTCTCTCCTTTTTCCACTGAAAGCTTCTACTGGATTGGAGTTCTTTTCAAGGTGTGTCTACATGCAACCCTATACATTGAATAGTTACAGTCAAAAGTCTTCTGTATTTTCAGGGGTCACCCTATTCTCCAAGAGCTAGCAAAATGAAATGTATTTAATGTATTTAAATGAGGTTTATTCTGCTCCTGACAAGTGAATTTGCATCTTCCTTCCTTCCCTACTTCCTTAAAATTTGACCTCCAGGAGTGAGATGTGGGGACCACAATCCATCCAACCTGCCTGTAGTCTGCTCTTTTATTGTATTTTCCATTTATTAACAAATCACATTTTTGAAGAGATGGCTATTCAGTTAACAGGATTTGTTACCAATATGAGCAGATAAGCCCACATCTACTGCTAAATCAACTAGACATGAATTAACCTTATAGGAGTAATTGATACAGAAGACTTTGCTTCTGGGTGAAAGCAAGTTGGACCAGATGGCCTTCAGAAAATTTGTAAGTTTATGCAATTGCCTAGTGAGATACAAGGTTCTAGCTTAGTGGTCTGTTGAGCACATGTTTGCACACAGATATAATCGCTGGCATCTGCCGGTAGGGCTGGGAAGGAAAGGAAGTACTGAGATAGACAGAGTAATGGACCAACTCAGTTTAAACCAGCTTCCTAGGTGAGAGATGGAGGTGGGGAGCACACTTCGTCTCTCCCCTTCCCAACCCTGGAAGGAAAAAAAACCAGCTGCATTTTGGTCCTAATGAAAAACTGAAGCCTAACAGTAAGAAAAGGCATAATGAATGAACACTTCACTACATAAAAAGTCAACTTGCTCTGGTGCCAAAGAGGACTTACTGTTAAGGGAAAGGAATACATTTAATGATTTCTACACTGGCAGGCTTTCTTGGCCTACTTTTCCACATCTTTCTCCCTCCAGTATCTTTGATGTGACAGTGATTTAGGCATTTTTTTATTTAAAAAAATTGGCCTGTATGGAAGAGCTCCTATGCCCTCTACTGTATAGATTTGGATATGTTCAGCCTGTTTTCTGGTAGATGGATGTCCCTCTAGTGGCTGGCTTAAGAGGGGGGAAAGGTAAGCAATCACACTCGAAACTAAAAAGTCAAGATTGACTCCAGTACATCATTCATGCTTATGCAATACCTTTTACAAACCATCCCATGAGGGGAAAACGTGGGAATGCTACATTCAAATAGGCTGCCGATGCAATTTGCCTCCCCTGCCCCATAAATAGACAACTTTAGAGTCAGAGGAAAATGTCTGCATCTGAAAATATTTTATTCCACGTAAGTTGCTAGAGGCAATTTGCCACCCAATTTTGAAACCAACGTAGAACCAACATAACAAGTCCAAAATGACAAAACTGCCGAAAAAACACTCCTAATGGATTTACTTTGTTATAACCATACATGCACCTGAGAAGAGTCAGCATTATTTGTGAATAAACAGGACTTACAGAACCATCTAAATGCCATAGCCAAGTCCATTTCCATTATTATTGCTTAGCTTCTCATTCTGAACCAAGATCACAAATGCATCCTTGCTGTTCAGTTGGTTTAGTATGAAAACATTTGGTCTCTTGTGTTAACATTACTCATAATCTTTTTTCTTGACTGTGACAGAGAGTAGAGTACCTGTATGGGCCTACGGCCGTAATAAATATTATCTTAAAAGAGAGTAGAATATTTTTATTTTTTTAAAAAGCTTTTGGGGTGCCTTTAAGGGTACCTTGATGCCAGAGAAAGAAAGAGTGAGCAGAGAAGAAACTAAGAGAATCCCATATGTGTGTTCTTGTCCAGGTGCAGAAAGCAATCTTGTATGAATTGCAAAAACCTTCCAATGTCAGCCTATGAAAAAATTAGGAAAGCAAGAGATAGCAATGTGTGCCAGAGAAAAAAGAAGAGAAAGAGACAGTGAGGAAGGCATCTAGGCCTTACTGTGCCACACTAGATCATGCTTCAAGTACTATCTCCATAGAATGTAGTTGTAGGGTAGATGGATAGACAGCACACACCACAGTCAGAAGACATTATCATATGCTTTGTTGATTGAGAAGAGGATGTTACGTGTATGGCATTCATCAACCACAATCTTACTTTACAGTTTTATTCCACTTTCACTTAGTAGATGCATTTGCATTTAATCACTTTTATAGCCACTTTGTGGGGCGTACAATCATGGTAGAAGACATACAAAAATATTTGTAACAATGCACGCAGTAAGCGTGCTGTACAAAAATACTTCACGTTAGGTGCTCTTTATACAAACTGTACCTTTAACTTGAAATACTCACCAAGGATTTTCCTTAATGTTTGGTTTAGAAGGAATCGGATTCCGATCAGCTGCACACAGCCCAAAGCAGATATAATAAACACACAGTTCAAAGTAATAAAAACTTGTATGCTAGATGCTTAATGCAAAAGCCATTTCAAGTTAGGGTTGTAACATTCCCCCCTGCTGAAAGTGGATTTCTGCTTTTTAAAAGCTGCCTCCTAGCTAGAATTTAAAGAAAGCTTTCCCAGGCATGAGTTGTTATGAAGAAAGTTGTGCCTGCTGAATCTCTGACTGGCATGCAGATGTTAAAAGACCCAGAGCCCCTCAAGAAAAGAAAGAGGCGAATGCAGGTCCTGTAACAGGTATATAGCAAAGTATATTGAATCAAGTAGCTGGACAGTTTTCATGAGCAGCTTTGTACATTGTATAACTGGACTATGTGTCTATACTTATTCTTAACCCACAAAGGTAGCTCAAATGTAACAAAGACAAGCTTTCCATATTTTTTAATACAGCTAGATTGATTGAAGGCACAGTGGGGACCTTGTCATAGAAATGTTATAGCCAATTACTGCCAGCTTAAAGAGTAATGCTACCACTTATTACTGGGGCTGCAATGTTTTGTCAATCAGATTACTCCATCTGAAACATTTTAATAAATTTAAAAGATGGCTCTATTAAACTTGCAGATCTTTGCAATTATTTTTTTTAATACAAGCATTCATTTAAAAAAGAATACAGGCAGCACTCCCAGGCTGCGGAGTGAAGGCACATGAGGCCACCACCTTGTTGCAGCCAAGTAGGTCTGGGCCTGGCTGGTGGCCTGGAAACCACATGGACTCTGCCTTGGGTTCCATAAGAAAAGAAAGGTGGGAAATAAATGAATCATTGAAGAGAGATCACATCTTCTGTCACACAGAGGATATGCCTCTTTTAAGATGGCAGAAATTCAACATGTGCCTGCTGGATTCCTGGTTTCTTCCCTTTTTGGTGGGGGGGGTTGCCTTTTAATGTGTTGTGCTTCTTCCAAAATGTGTGCATTACCTAACAAACAAACTAGGCTTCCTCCCCCTCCCTCCCCCAGTCATTCGCTCACTTCAGAACACTGCTTATTCTGTTCCAGCACTACTTCTGATTAAACCCAGCAGTATCATAAGATCTGAGCATACAAGGAAATGCAGTTGCCTTAACGTCCCCATGCATGATCTACAATTTAGCCTCAGCATTTTTGCAGCTCAAGCTGCGCTCCGCCGCTTGGACTCAGCAATGTTTCTTCCCCACATACACAATCAAATGCTTGCCCCCAACCCGATCTGATGGATGAACTAATATTAGTAACAGCAATATTTATTATGAGGGTGCTTTTCAAATGGGCATTTTCTTCCACTAATAGAATGGAAAGAAGTGTGTGTGTGTACAGTGGTACCTCGGTTTACAAACTTAATCCGTTCTGGAAGTCCGTTCTTAAACCGAAACTGTTCTTAAACCGAGGCGTGCTTTCCCTAATGAGGCTTCCCGCCGCCAGTGCCCTTCCACCGTTTGGATTCCATTCTTAGACCGAGGTAAACTTCTCAAACCGGGACATTCCAGATCTGCGGAGTTTGTAAACCGAATCGTTCTTAAACCGGACTGTTCTTAAACCGAGGTACCACTGTATTCAAGTTTCAAATACGGCACAGATAAAAAGAATGCAAGATCACCTTGGTTGGGTACTCTTGTCTGCAACAGTTTCACCCAATGAGGTGTGGAAACAAGGTGATCACACTTTACATGTATGTGACTTTGGCACAAAAATTAAAAATTGCAGTCTAAAAGCCAACAAAGAAAAAGGAGTTTAAAGGAAGCTGATAAAAACCCCATTGGCTTCAGTGGAACCAGCACCACTTTCTCACTTAATCACTTGCAACCCTGCACAATATTTCATGATACTGTAGTGCCACAGACACCAGAATCTCTTATCTTACCTTTTTATGTTCCAGTGAAGCAGTTCTATGTAAAATACCTTCAAGTGAACATACTCCTGGACACATTGCAATAGCCAAGATTAACAGGACTATTCAAAAGCAAATGTCTTACTTATTCCTGTCTCTGAGGCCTGCATGCATTTTTACAGGATGCCCAGAATAAAGCATGAAGTACTAACTTTTAACCATCCTATAGAAAAGGCCCTGTATTAATCAGTTCCTTCATCTCCATCTTAACAACCATAGGACAAGTCTGTTCCAACTCCCCAAGTACAGCGTTGCAAATCAATCAAAGAGGTGGGTTATTTTGTCCATTATTATCCTGTTTGGGCCATGTTTTCAAGCACCGACCACTGATACTTGTGTAGTTCACCAACATGTATGGGTTGTAGGGTATTTTTTTTAGTGTAACTTCATTACAGCTCTCATGTGATCAGGGCCATCACACTTGTGTGAATAGAATTTCAGAGATTTCTTGGATACTTAGTTCTTTTTCACAGTTTGTATATTGGTGTGTTGGATCTTGATAAGCAGGTGCAAAAGTTCAAAGAGCCCACATGGTAAAGCAGAGAAGCCTTGATAGCCCAGAATCAACTGAAGTTATCAGTTCTACAAACCCCAACGTGTAGATACAAAAGAAGGTTGATTTTAACGCCCTGTATCATTATAGTTGGGAAAATTAGTTATTATGGTACATTACTGAAGTGTAACAGTCTAGTCACTTATGCTGCAGTCTTGTACATATTTAAAATTACCACAATTTTTCTTATTTTGTCTTAGAAATTGGACATGAAGAAGTAGCCCGTGATTCACACCAGTACTGTAGCGGTAATTAAATCTCTTGATTTTCAGTATTCTTGAGCAATGCATTTTGCGATTGTGTTCAGTTGGATATTTGAAGTTCCTTCATATATGGTACCTGAAACAAACCATCAGGGTGGGGGAATAAATGAAGCAATAATATAAACAGCGATAAACAGTGATTTAAGCATGTTGTGGTAAACATTAGATATGAGGCAAAGGTATGTAACAGAGGCAGAGTGAAAAAGGTCTGATAATGCAGCGTCAAGTTCTACCGCTGGAGTATTTTTTGTTGTGATCAGTGCAGTATGTTAAACAATTTAGTAGAAACTTTGAATGTGGTGTGGTTTTATTACAAAGGAAGATGCAAGGGCAAGCTCACAAAAGTTATGGATTGACTCCAGAGGTGACCGTGTGCTTCCATTTGCAGAACAGGACTTTTGCTTCCTCTCCCCTTTTTCTGCAGCCACCCACACAATTGCTCTGAGGGACTGGGGGGCCCTCCAATTCAGATTTGGGAGGCACGTGGAGGCTGCAGGAGGGAGGAATAAGAAGTCCTGTTGTGCAAGCAGAAGTCTACTCACGAAAGTTCAATTCCACCCTATAACTTGTATGTGTAAAGTAAGTATTGCTTTCATATCCTCTAGTACATATTTTAGTGGAGACAGTCCATTATGGCAGGCTGCAGATCAGTGACTGATGAGACTGTGATATCCACACAGATTTGTGCAGCCTAACATAGATAGGGCTGGTCATAATTTTGCTGAAGAAAGCACAATGCATTTCCTAACAGAAATTAGTCCCTATATCTTCCACATCCAGAGGCATGGGGCCTGCTTTTCACTCATGCAATTCTGAGCAGCTAAGGATTGGAAGCGAATAATATAGCCGCATGGTGGGGCAGGTAGCATGGATTTGCCTATGCAGCTGTATGCGAAAAGACTATCAGATCTACATTCTGGGTAATGAACAAACTAAGGTATCTAATCAGTTTGCCTGTAGGTAGCTGGGACAGTGAAGAGGGTGAGGAACCTGGTGTGGCTAAGATTGTAGATCAAAACTTGACAAACAATCAGACTTCCAGATTCTTATAGACTTGCCACTCAATATCCATATCAGGAGATGGAGAACGGCAAATGCGCTTTGTTGATAACTTTCTGATCATTCAATAAAAATGCTACATTTTCATTTTCAACAGATGATCTATAAGAAACTGCTACTTACCAATCTTGCAATCCCTGTAATATTTCTCAATAGGATAATCTTTTGTGAAGCCAACTCCGCCCATCCATTCAATACATTTACTTGTTGTTAGAGTAGCAACCTGCAAAAAACACATGAAGCATGCTGTGACTTTTGCTCAATTCAAATCAATACTATCCTGACCGTCAGAATACTGACATCACGTTGGTGCCTTCACTGTACTCTGTCAAGCCTATTCAAACATGTAAAGGTAAAGGAACCCCTGCCCATACGGGCCAGTCTTGACAGACTCTAGGGTTGTGCGCTCATCTCACTCTAGAGGCCGGGAGCCAGCGCTGTCCGCAGACACTTCCGGGTCACGTGGCCAGCGTGACTAAGCTGCTCTGGCGAACCGGCACCAGAGCAGCACACGGAAACGCCGTTTACCTTCCCGCCAGTAAGCGGTCCCTATTTATCTACTTGCACCCGGGGGTGCTTTCGAACTGCTAGGTTGGCAGGCGCTGGGACCGAGCGATGGGAGCGCACCCCGCTGCGGGGATTCGAACTGCCGACCTTTCGATCGGCAAATCCTAGGCGCTGAGGCTTTTACCCACAGCGCCACCCGCGTCCCACCATTCAGACATGTAGAATGTTTCAATCCGGTAATTAGCTTATTGCTGATTTTAATCATTTTTAAAATGTTTAAAATGCTGTTTTTAATGGGCGATTTTCTTGTTTCATTCTTTTTGTAAGCCACTTTGAGGTTGCATTACAATCAAGCAATATATATACAGTGGTGCCCCGCAAGACGAACGCCTCGCAAGACGGAAAACCCGCTAGACGAAAGGGTTTTCCGTTTTGGAGGCGCTTCGCAAAACGAATTTCCCTATGGGGTTGCTTCGCAAGACGAAAAAATCTTGTGAGTCCCCGCGGGGTTTTTTCCGCTCCCCCCCTTTCCTAAGGCACTAAGCCGCTTATCAGCTGTTCCGCTGATAAGCCGCTTAACAGCTGATCGCTGAAAGCCACTAGACCGCTGTAGCGCTAATCCGCTAAGCTGTCAATGGGCTTGCTTCGCAAGACGAAAAAACCGCTAGACGAAGAGAATCGCGGAACGGATTCTTTTCGTCTTGCGAGGCACCACTGTATCTTGTTCTAAATTGTGTATATGATTGTTTTATATGGGCAAATGTTTTAATTGTATTTATAGGCAATTGTTCCATATATGTTGTTATTGCAAACTGCAATAATAATAATGTCTCATGATAAGCTATCTGTAATAATATAAAGCCATAGTTCAGTTATGTTTCATTTAAAAAGAAAAGGCAAAAAAGAACCTCAAATACAGCTTACCTCTGCTGCATAATACTTGGCCATGCTGGACTCTTTTATGAATGGCCTTCCGCTTTCTGCAAGTCGAGCTGCATTGTAGGTTAACAATCTTGCAGCTTCTATCTGTACAGCCACTTGCGCAATCTGATGTTGCATTCCCTTGAAAGAAACAAGTTCCATGTAAAACTAAACTTGCAAGAGAAAATCACCCTCCCTTCCCCAGCTGCCAGATATAATGCTCAGTTTCTGATCCTATGAGTGACCGATATAGCAATTATTTGTTTGTTTACTCAAGTGTAAATAGAACTGTATTCATTTCCAGGTAAGAAATGAAGTCTAAAGTGCAAAAGACCAAGCCAAAAACAACCAAAAAAGCAAGGGGAAATCATTACTATAATTACCGTTTTATAAACACATCCTATGGCAACTACAGTGAAATATAATAATGCAAATATTACAGTAGTTAGCCACACTGTAGCTTGAGTGACAAATTACAAATGAACTTTTAAACAATTCTACCATGATGCAAGAAATAACTGCATCATGGTAGAATTGTGTAAAAATTCGTAGCCGAAGGAGTTCTCACTCAAGTTATAGAAAGTTCTGCCACACAGATAGTCAGAAAGGTATTACTACTTAAAATGTTTTCTTCACATTTACTACTGACAGGTAATCCTTCAAACAAAACGTGGCAGTGGTTAAGAAGTTATAATACTGTGGCCTACAAAATATCAGCTGTGATAAGCATTTCTTTTTGTTTTTAGACCCATTTTACAGAATGCACTCATCGCTACCTGAAAATCAAATGTGCTTTTTCCAAATTGGGACCTCTCCTTTGTATATGGGATGGTGTGGTCAAAACATCCTTGTGCTAATCCCAACATCTGTGAATGAACAAAAACGAAAAGCAAATGTTACTAATGTGGTTGGAAAAGTGTCACAGTCCTCTTTAAAAGGGCAAGACAAGCTTTGTGACAATTGCCAGGAGTGAGTTTGGTTGTTAGGGGCTCATAAGACAACCGCAGGATTGGAGAGATTTTGTATTCCAGAAAGACTAAAAAAACCCCAGCAAACCTAGTTATATGCAGAATTCAAAAGGCAGTGAAAGAAGCTAGAAGTCAGGTATTTCTAAGAACATCTCACCGTCACTTTCATTTTACTCATTTAATTTTCAATGCCTCATCACACAGCATAATAATACCTAGTCAGTCACCAGCAGTCCATTTCACTGCTTAATATGGAAAGTGATAATCTAACAACATTAATGTGTAATGCCTTGATAAGGTTACTTACTTATTAATACTGTTCTCCTAAACTTAATAGCTCAGGGTGGTTCCCCCCCCCATAATATGCTGATTAAATTCTAAATTAAAACCAGGTTTTTAATGGGGGCAGGGAAAGGAAGGGAACCTGGGTTTTTGCTCATGACATCTCTCTTTACTTCAAGATGTTGGAACAGGGTAATTCGTTAAGATACTCTTGGTGTGAGTGGCGAAGGGAGGCTTCTAAAGAAGGAGACTGAAACCTAGTCACTGTGGCTAAAATTCAAAGAACTATGCAACTACTTCCATGTGCCCAAGGACACATGGAAGAGCAGCCCTCATTACAAAGCATTTCTGAAACCCAAGGGGCTATTCAAAAGCAGCTTGCGATATCACATGGAAACCTCTTGTTCAAAGAAAAAAAGGCAAAACATCCCATTGGGCATGCCCAATAATTGTTGGGTCCAAGCCTATGTGCTTAAAGAATGTTAAGCCGTGATGAGGTGCACTTTACAGTGGTACCTCGGGTTACGTACTTAATTCGTTCTGGAGGTCCGTTCTTAGCCTGAAACTGTTCTTAACCTGAGGTACCACTTTAGCTAATGGGGCCACGATTTCTGTTTTCATCCTGAAGCAAAGTTCTTAACCTGAGGTACTATTTCTGGGTTAGCGGAGTCTGTAACCTGAAACGTATGTAACCCGAGGTACCACTGTATTTCTCCAAGAGAAAGGAAGGACTGGGAACGTGTAGGTTTGGAATTATGCACTCCAGCAACCAGCTCCTAATCTTTTTAACTACAGTTGGGGAAGACTCTTTAGCCATATTTCAGGCTTTCAACCCCTCACATGATTACAGCTGGGTGAAGGGGAAGCGTGTGGCCCCACGTTCTCTGCCACGTTCTGAAGGGCCCAGCCCTGCTGCAAATCATATAATGGGGGAGGGAGTAATAGGTTTTAAGTATACACACCTTCAGGCACAGTGTCTGGACAGTGGTGGCTCTCCTGATTCAGGTAATTGTAACTTGATGATACTTAAAAGGGCTTTTGTTACAATTCTGCAACATCCTTTTTGAGATCAGGACTGGTGGGGGGCAGTCAAAACTGTATACGCTCTGTGTTACATCTGCACTGGACCTAAGTAATTATAGTGATACTTACCTGTGCAGCTATTCCTATTCTTCCCGTATTGAGCATTCCAATGGCATACTTATAGCCCTGCCCAACCTGCCCAAGCACGTTGGTCACAGGAACCTGAGGAATTAAGCAAAACCAATTAATTGCTAGTAGCCCTTTACTTCCATCTCCACATTTATTTATTTAAAAAATATAGGCCACCTTTCGAACATAAATGCTTCCCAAGGCGGTTTACAAAAACGCACGCAGACAAAGCAACAAACCACAATACGACTTCAAAACCAGCAACCTCACTGTGCTGCTTCCATACAACTGCAGAGCCAAATGTGTATTTTACATTCAGTTATGAGGAACATAAAAAAGCAAACTACTGTATGGCTTTTGGTTGACAAAATTTTTGTAAATTTGGAGCAACCATAAATCAACAGACTGCGTTCGTGTGTGATTCAAATCTAAATTTGCTATATTTCTAAAAGTGTTTTTTTTTAAGCCAACCTTCTGTGAGTATTGCACCATTCATCTTCCAAATGCATGCTAATTTATGCAACTGCATCCCACTGAGTTGTTTGTATTGAGTACAGTATTGTAACGACTTAGCCAAATTCCACAGCTTTAAAAGGACTACTGCACCTTCACATTTTCAAATGTTACAGGACATGTAGATGTGGCTCTGATTCCCAGTTTATCCTCCTTCTTTCCTACATGTAGGCCCTCTGTATTACGGTCTACTATGAAACAGGTAATTCCTTTATAGCCCTAGGAAGGAAAGACATATGGAAAATTAACTGTGCTGATAATAAGGACGGGGTGGAAATTCAATTCAGTTCACATTAAAAGCAGATATACCTAATTCACACATTCTGAAAATTCAACAATCCTTTGAAATCTGCACTTCTCTGATTTTTGCAGGGCAGTTTTCCAACCAAATAATGTAAGGTTAAGGTTGCATGAAAATTGCATATATTAGTTAAAAAATAGAACACAAAACTCATTATATTAGGCAGCATTCCATACAAAAAAGGGTGTAATGAAATAAAATACTAGCACATGTTTGTGTGTCCCTTTAAAAAAGAATTAGGAAACTTATGTAGAACTGTGGAGAACCCAACTTAATATTGGAAAAACGAGAAGCTGCGAGAAACCAGAATTCACCCATCCTAGCTTGGGGCCGGACTCCTGCCAAGGCTGCCCAGTCTTTCCTTTTCAATATGCCATTTAAGTGAAGATCTTTATCCCAATCTGTGTCTGTATTAGATCTGAAATTATTTCTATTTACAGACTGAGTTTTATACATGGATTTGTTTTTATTGTAAACGCTTTTAACTGTGAAATTGACTGCAGTGGTACCTTGGTTGTCGAACTTAATCCGTTCCAGGAGTCTGTTCGACTCTCGAAACCGTTCAAAAAACAAGGCGCAGTTTCTGATTGGCTGCAGGAACTTCCTGCACTCAAGCAGAAGCCGCGTCAGATGTTCAGCATCCGAAAAACGTTTGCAAACCAGAACGCTTACTTCTGGGTTTTGCGGCGTCCGGGAGCCGATTTGTCTGGGAGCCAAACTGTTTGAGTACCAAGGTACCACTTTATATAAATAAATGTTCTGGATTGCTGGTTGTGCAATACAGTGCCTAATCATGAACAGAGCAAAACTGTACAACAGCTGTGTAATCACCTTTCTTTGTCTGACTGCATCCTGACTGCCCAAGAAGCTCAGTGGTTTAGACCACAGGGCCACCCGCACCTTTACCTTTTTACTCACTAGTATGGATACTCCAGACAGGGCTTCTCAGATGCAAATAGGATAAGAAAAACACCAGGGCAGGCAGGAGGGATTAGGGGGCAAAGAGAAAGAGAGATCAAGGTTCCTAACTCTGCTCTTCTGCTGTTCTTAGCAAATTTCCAAAGCAGCAGAAGAAATTCCATAAATTGAGGATACAGGAAGAAAAAGGAAGACTGCCAGTATAAGCAAGGTACAAGTCTAGTTTATACCTTGTAATTAATCTTGATGCAATGCCTTAGTAAAATCAAGCGATAACAGTTTTAGCTACTTACTGCAGAAGGGTTGGCGTTTGCCATCACCAAAAACACTCCTGCATGCTCAGCAAAGCTAATCCACATCTTTGACCCACTGATGATATAGTAGTCCCCCTTCTTTTCAGCACGAGTCTTCAAGGAAAACGCATCGCTGCCAGAACCAGGCTCTGAGAGGCAGAAGCTGCCCATCTATCATTTTAAAATAAAGTCAAGTCACTAGATATATTCACTCTGCAAACATTTTGAGAATATAGGTACAGCAAGGTAATCAAGTAAGAAAGGATTATTTTTCAACCAGTGGCATATTTAATCCACAAGACAAGTAAATCCAAGTATTTACACAATATAGTCTCTCAAACATTTTCGCACCACTCCAACTGAAAAAACACCCAACACTTTCCTGGATGGCACTGGTTGGAAAACAAAGAAGGGCTGTTACTACATATTGTTTCAATCAGAGCAAATGGTTTCCTAGAATTCCACAATCTCATTCATTCTCATTCATCCTGAACATAGCAGTGCTATGGAGGAAAGGGGGAACAGCTGCTGCAATAATAGGGACACTGTTATGCTATGCATTGGCAGTGAGAAATAAAAAAGCTCTGCCATAGGCCAGTTTAGTGGCCTCTTTAAGGGTGATGAAAATCAACAGTTTAACTCCAAAAACTTTGAATGATTTGGCTGTAAACATCTCTTTTACCCAACCAAAGACTCACAGGAGTCAATGAGACACAAATTTACCTAAACTCAGTTGGTTTAGTATAACTAGGGCTAGGCTGTGGATGGAGCTCTTAGGCTGCAGTCCTATGCACACTTACTTGGGAGTAAGCTTCAATAAATTGGTGGAATTTACTCCTAAATACATCTACATAGGTTTCTGCAGTTCGTTCCTTAAGGTGGAAATTCTGCAAATGCATATTTAACTTATGTGCCAATATACTGCACCTACCATGTCTTTTGCCAGTCTAGGCAAATAGGTTTGCTTTTGTTCTTCTGTGCCATACGTCGTAAACAATTTATTGGTTAAGGTATTCTGGAGTTCACACATAAGCGATACTGATGGATCAACCTTGGCCAACTCCTCAACCACCAGAATAGTGGAAAAAAAGGAAAACCCAGTTCCTCCATATTTGGGGTCAAGATCAATACCCATCAACTGAAAAAGAAAGAACAAGCTGTTGTTAGGAGTGGGTGGAGAAACCTTATGAATTCTGACTTCTACTCAACTTCCATCATCTTTGCTAGAAAGAAGAGCTATTGGGGTGGTATTCTACTAAGTTTCACCCAGAGAAGGCCCAAACATGACTCATTTCAATTAGTTTCAAAGGGTCTACTCTGTGTAAAATTTAGTTGAATACCATTCATTGATTCCGAAAGGAATTTTCATGTGTACCCTCCTATAATCACAGCCTCCCACTGAACTCTAAGGAAATGTTCACAAGATTTGGCTATCAGTATGCTCAAGTTTGAGATCCAATACTGTGATCCTACAGATTTGCTTGTGCTGTTGTACTCCTGAAACAGCAAATTTTAGAATCAGAGTGGCATAATACTAAAACATTATTGTTACTTGTGCCTTTTATTTAACTAAAGAGTAATCAAAATGCCCCAAAGTGCAACCCTAGCCATGTCCACTCAAAAGCAACTCCTTTTGAATTCATTTGGGCTTGCTCCCATGTAAGTGGGGTCAGGATGTAACCTTAGTCACCAAATGTTTTCCCCTTAAATCTACCTCCAATGAAACAACTGCATAAATTTTCTATCTGCTAAGAAGAAAAGCTACAAATATTTACAGAAAAACAGAATGAAAGCTAGCAGTCAGCCCTGTGACCATTTTTCAATTATATCATTCATCCTTTTGCTTATTGTGTTATAAATGTATACGTACAGTGCTCAGTGTGCAAAGGGAAGAAGCTACATACTGCATTAAAAACACCAAAATATGTACAAACCCCTTGTTCAAATAGCCCTTGTACAACAGAATCGTCCATTTTTGCATCAGCATCCATTTTCTGTACTAATGGTAGCACTCGCTCATGAGCAAACTTTTTCACTATAAGGAAGAAAAGATATAAAGAATCTCATTGTTAGCCTTAAGTTGCAGTGAAGCCAGAAATTTAACAGATATAAAATTCACAAATGTAAGTAAGATAGCACTAGTGGCTACAGTTAGATTTAGGTCTTTTGATTTAAGTTTACCATAGTGGAGTGGGGGAAAGGTAACAGTATTTAACCCCTCTGCCTAGAATGTAACAGAGAATTGCGTACATAGACTTAAACCGACATTTAATTCTTCAAAACATCAATTTTTGAAAATGAGCTAACAATTTATGGGTGGGGGTGAATTTCTTGCTTACAGAAGTGATTCGTTCTCTTCAGTGCATTATTATAAATCACATGCCATGTAGAAAATAATTGATTTGGGCAGACTTTGCCCACAGAGATAGAATTCAAATACATTACCCATTTCTTTGATCATGATCTCCTCCTCTGTAAATGTCTGAAGCGGAGCACAAGTTACTCCCTCACTGGTTAGGTTTGGTAAAGCCTCAGATTTGGAAGATTTAAAGAAACTGGGTTGCCTCATGCAAGAGTTTATGAATGGAGGCATATTCCATCTCAGCTGTGGACAAAACATATTTTAAGAAGGAGGGAACAATACCACTAGAGAAAATAATCTTAGCCTGAAACTACAAATAAGATATTTCCATGAACTCTCAGGGAGCAAGGGCAGACTCAGACCAAAGTGACTAATGAGGACATCATCACTAGACTTTGGTTGTGAGCAAGGATGGATATTATAATTTGGATTACTGGGGAAAGAAACTGCTCCCAAGTGAACAAAAGTGTCCTATAAGATACTTCAGAATATAAACAGGATGGAAGTCAGCCCTATATCAGGAATAGTGCTCTCTGGAAGTTTTGGGTTCCTATTCCCATCAGCCCCAACTAGCAAAGCCACAGTCAGGGGTGATGGGAATGTGCAATAAAGTATCTGGACTGCACCATGTTGGCTATCCCTGCAATACAGTGTGCCCTTGACATGTGGGGGTTGCTACAGGTGTTGTGGAAGTTGTCTCTGTTGATCATGTTAGATCTTTTGAGTCACACATACAGGTTATCATTTGATTTGCTTTAGTAATCAACTGATGAGCATGCACACGAACAACTTCAAGATCTTATATGGTGAAACAACATTTGCATAGTCCAAGACTGTAAATTCTGATTTTCATTCTTTGTTTTAAGCAATCTTATTTCTCTGGCTTTGTTGCTGAGAACACAAGTAAGACCCCCCCTCCCCAATGTTAGGAACACTTAGGAGAGACACCTTTCGACAGAAATCTGTTTAGGATTATTGTGCAACAATCCTTTGACTTGCTTATATCTAACAGCATATGTGCTTAAATTTAACATTGAAACAGACCAAACTTAATTTCAGGCAGAACAGACTGAAAGGTAATTTCCATTTTGTTAAGGTAACTTCAGCCTTTTTGAAAAAAACTACGGTAGATTATAAAGAATCTACATAGATTTTTGTTTAGTTGCTCTGTAAAGTGATGGTGCTATATAAAACTACAATAACTATAATATAAAAGGGCTTAGTACTGGAGCCTAGTGGCCTGATTTATGTTGTTAGGTCCTATGCAGATTTAAACACATTGGATACATTTAGATTCAATGCAAATGGTTTGTTTAGTTTAACTGTGGCTTGCTTATACATGCAAACCTGTTTTGGTGGGCTTAGAGATGGGCTAAGTACACAGGATTGGGTTTTAATTTGCAAGTCAACCCACCTTCATATTAAACAAATTCTTGCTGACAGGCAAGTAGACCAAGATTGCTTTCACTTTATAAAAAGAGGCAACTCCCTGTAATGCTCTCTTCCACTATAAAATTTACAATGGGCAATATACAGGAACATTTGCAAATAACTCCTGAATTATGTAGAAAGTTCACACTCTAGGGTTAGGCCCTTGAAAGGGGTTGGCACACATAAAATAAGTATACTGAAGTATTCTACAGCTCTCTTTTCAAAAATACTGAAATATGGGCTACCAAGTTCTCTTGTTCATTCCTACAATAAAGGACCTAGAATGAATGAAGTTTTATTTCCTAAGTCAATATTGAACAGCTAGTAGTGCTGGACTTAGTAGCTTTATAGTAGTTCCCTCTTTAGTTGGCAATGTGTATTAATTTTCTTCAGAAGGTGGTAAGCCAGGCTTGATGCACCTACTAGGGGGCCATCCTGCTTATTCTACACTTCTATCTCATAGTGCTGCCCTGATGATCACTGAAAGGACCATGCTTACACCTAGCTTTGCAGCAGAGTTATATGCATTTTCATTCAGAAGTCAGTGTTCAGTGGAGCTGACACCTTGATGTTTAGAACTGTTGCGTTAGGCTTATTATTATTACTGGCACATCTTAACAAAGGGTATGCAAATTTAGCCTACTCCACAGAGTGAAAAGGGGTGTGGGATGAAGGAGAGATCACCTCATGGCTCCCCTGCGCACAAACACACCCTTTATCCATTTCTAAAGAGAGTGAGAGGTGCCAGAACTCAGCAGCATCTGGAAATCCCGTTCTCCGATCAGGGAACTGTGCCTCCTAAATCCCAAAACCCATGGACGCCCTCTTGTCCAAGTAGAGTTTAACCACCTTTTCCCGTGCATCTAACAAGGGAACCTTTCTCCGTGGCTGGATCTGTGCTTGGACACAGCTCACCTGTACAGGTGAGGTTTACAAAGGACTCTCCCTCTTACCAGGGACCAGACTATTTTGCACATCTGGACTACGCTCCTCTTCTCGCACTGGCTTCCTGACTCTTTTTGACTCAAGATGCTGAGATTCTAACCTGCGACCATCTGCTTGCAAAGCAGCCGATCGACCAGCTCACCTGCAGCCTCCACCTGCCACCTGCGTCCTGGATCTGAAAACAGCCCCCCCGCCCCGAGCTGAGCCCCTGGAAAACAACGGCGACATTTACCTTCCCGCAGCGCCTGAGCGAAGACAGAGCCCCTGCCGCCGCCATCCCTTCTGCCGCCGCAGCTTCTCTCTCCGAAGGCCGAGCGGACACCGAACTTGCTGGAGGAACCCAAAGAGGGAACTTCTGCGCACCTTTACGGAAAGCCGGCCGCGCAACGCACTTCTGGTTCCCAATGGAACCCTCCTCCTGAGGGGCGGGAGTGTTTAGAAGCGGAACGACTCTCGTTCCCCAACTCCCTGCTCCCGATAAGGAGCAGCGTCGCTTTGATTTTTACAGGCGTTTGCGCATCCCCTTCGTTCTCGCCCCCGCACATTAAAGGCGGGAGCCCGACGGTATGCGACTGGATACCGGAAGTTCTACAGAACTCAAGAGGAAAATAAAAACAAGCAAACCACCCGCTTTGGAGAAAGAAGAGGCGAGAGCGCGCGGCTTCCCACGCCTCTCTTTGAGAACGGCGCGCGCCGGCCGCGCCTGTTGGCGGAGCTGGCGGAGCTCTCGCGGGATTTCGAAAGGGGGAAGGACGCGGGTTACGCCTGGGCTCCGGGAGACACAACAAACATGGAGGCGGCGGCAGCGGTGACGGCGGGAGTCGGGTCCACCTGCGGCTGGCAAGTGCGGCGGAGGTGAGGCGGCGGCGGCGGGGCAAGCAGCGTCCGGGGGGCTCCCTCTGCCTGGGCAGAGCAGGAGGAGACCTCGTCGTGCTCCTTCCCCGCTGGCGCCGCGCTCTGCCTGCCTGCCGAAGTTGGGAGCGCAGGAGGAGTGGCGCCGGCGAAGCCCACTTCGCCGAGGGTCGGTCGGGGAGGCAGCATGTCGGGAGCGGCGCTCCGGTGCGGTCGGGGAAAAGGCTGCGTGCTGCCCAGGAGGTGGGTCCGGTGGGCAGTGGGAAGCTGCCCCCCAGCAGCCCCCAAAAGGGGCTTGGAGTTTGGCTCTCTGTCAGGGTCGCGGGAGGAGAGGTGGCCGCAGGCAGCCTGCGCTTTGCCCGGGAGTCGCTGGCAGCAATTCTTGCCCTAAGGAAAGCAAGAAGAAGAAGAAGATGCCCGGGCTCCTCATGCATCCTACAGCTGTGCAGAAGAGGGGTTTTCCCCCAGCAGGTGCCGCTTGCATGACAAGCTGGCTCTGTGCACATCTCCACCTCTGCGCAACTATTAAGGGGCGGCTGGAACAGGAACACCCAGTCCGGCCTTTCTCCTCCTGGCCGCCCTTGCCCAGCGAGGGAGGATGAAATTGCCTCTTCCCCACACAGCTGTTAAGAGGGGCACACCTCTCCTGTGTTGCATCTCACCACCCTGGCGGCCAGCCGTCTAGAAACAGTGCACACTTGGAAGGGGGGTGTCCAGAGGCAAAAAGTGGCTCACTGGATTGTTATGGAGCTGACAGCTCTTTTTATCCTAAAACTTACATCCTCGAAGGATGCTAGCTGCTACTGTTGGGTGCTCCTTTAGCACTACCCGAGCTGCCCAGGGTCTAGAAGTGACACTGTTTTTCTTTGTGATCACTCAATAAGCAACACGGAGTGGGAAATGTCTGACTTCAACTGCTTGGAAATGAGAGGGGTAGGTAGTGGAAGGGGAAAGCTGCAAGTTGGGAGGTCTTTGCATGGGATTGAAGAGATGGAGGGCCAGGAGGGTGGTGTGCCATAGGCTGTGTGCATGGAGTTCTGTGGAATGAAAAATCTGAGTTCTATTCCAACTGCCTTCCAAACATGAGTTCCCTCTTACCGTCTCCTTGGTTTAATTCTTTAGAGTAATTATATGAGCCATAATGTTTAGGATTAAATTGGCAAAGTAACTGGGAGCAAGTGTTAAGAGATGAGAAGATGAAGTGGTACCTTCCAACAAGATTGGATCATACTGTATTTGTATCGTGGTACTCTAGGCCGCTGATTTGCAGCATTGGACAAGGTTGCTGAGAGTTCTTCAGCTCTGCATCCCTTCAAGCCTCGCTGCCCTGATCTGCAAGGATGGGGAGATGGGTTAAGTGTTGCCAGAAAGGGCAAAAGTGACAATATACTGGATGGAAATTATTGCTCCCACAGTGCGGTTAATACAGTATAGCTTTGCTGCTGGTGAAAGAGCAAGCTCTGTAAAGTTACTTCCTGCATTTTCAAGTTCTTCCTATGGTTTGTGTCACCTTTGGCTATATATAATATGTTCTCCAGTGCCAGTGGTAGCAGAGGTAAAGTGAAACATTTTAGCTGAATAATATGGCTAAGTCTCCTGTAGAGTATGTAGCCAGCTCATTTTTGCTGTTGCCTTCGGGGTGAAAGTTGGCAAGTGAGAATAAGACAACAAATGCATGGTCATTCAAGGCTTTCTGGTGGCTGAAATGTTGATCTTCCTCCTTACAGCACTCATGTTCTGCCTCTTGCACATTTTAATGTATAGATTTTGCATACAGGTTTTGTCATGTTAACTTTTATGTTTGGCAAAAATCAATCTCTCTTTTGGACAATGTGGAACTGTGAAAATGTTAAGGTGTTATGTGAGCAGACTTGAGAAAAGTCTCAATTTTTTCTTTCTTCCTTAGATTTATTAAATATGAGCGTCAAATGTCTGTACTGCACAGAGCAGAAAAATGTGGCATGTACATAAACAGCTGAACCACCTGTTTCAGATATGTAAAAACAGCATAAAAAACTTTAGCATTCAGGCAATCCAGCATCTGGATTGTTTCCTGCATCTATAATTCATTGTGAATATCCTAAATAGGGCTTTGTACAGCAGTGTCAGCTAGAAAAAGAAAAGGATATCCTTCTTACATAGGAAAACTATTGCCTAGGTTTATTCATGTAGATGCTGTATTTTACAGAAGATAATTTTTTAGCATTAACTTGGTAAGGATTTTGATAAGGGAATTATATTACTTAAGCATGAAATGTGAGTTATAAAACTAAGGTTTTATGGCTTTCCTTAGGTATAATGTACTCTGTGCGTATTTTCAACACTAAAGCAACACCATTATCAGGCTTCGTTATTTTAAGGCAATGGCATCTAATTTAACTCAGTTTGAAAATGCAGAACTTCACATTTTGATTTCCCTTGAGATTGCTTCAAAAACAATATTGAGTATGCAAAATTATGTCTTTTTTTATTCTGCAGTGTTCAACTAATGGAACCCAAGTTAACTTAAATCTATATGAAGCTGATGACTACAGAAAGAAGGTAGGCAAAACTATTGTATAAAGGAAAATTTGAAGCAACTGCCGCTGAGAATGACACTAGATCTTGCTCAGCACTAACCTAGTGATACTTTTATTGCTTTATTTTTTTGTAAACAGCTTTGATGGTTTTTCAACCGATAAAGCAGTGAATAAGTTTTATGAAATAAATAATAAATAAATAACCCAAGAACAGCACTGCTGGATCAGACTGAAGGCCTATCTAGTCTAGCATCCTGTTCTCACAACAGATGTATATGTGAAGACCACAAGCAATCATGAGCACAACATCAGTCTGTCCTAGAAAGATATGGCTGCATAAAGCCTATTAAGGTTATTGTCTTGGTCATACGCTAAACCATATTGTTCCCCACTTAGAAAATAGCAAGAAAAGGCCATGGCAGCACTACACAACTTGTGACCCATGAAAATGATCACATCTCTGCTAGGATCTCTGCTCCTAGTAGCCTTTGGAGAGGGATGTTTCTGGGGTTGGTGTGTTCTCTGCTCTGCTGCCACCCCTGAGACTTTGAGGCAGACATTGCCAATGCCTCCTGGCTCCCTGTAATGGGCACTGGGCATTGGGTGAGCTAGTCTGTAGTAGACGAGAACAGGGTTTCGCAAACTTGGGTCTCCAGCTGTTTTTGGACAATTTCCATCATCCCTAACCACTGGTCCTGCCAGCTAGGGATGATGATGGTAGTCTAAGAACAACTGGAGACCCAAGTTGGGGAAAGTCTGGAATAGAAGATGGACAAGCCCTCTCAGCCTGGAGACTGGCAACAGAAATTTTTGTAAGCAGCCTTGAAGACTTAACTGGTGGAAATGCTTTTTAAAACCAATGTGTGCCCTAATCTCATTTCCTTTTAGACTAGAAAGGCATTAATCACAGAAGTGTATTTAATACATGATGGAACATATATTTCAAGAGTGGATTTTTGATGTCTGTTTCACTGATTTGAAGTTGATTTGGAGGATTAAGGTAAAACTGCTGCACACGCATTTTAATGATCTCTTAAAAGTTATGTATCTTCATGTGTTAGTAAACTGTAATGAGCTACGCTTGGGTTTTTTGTCTGGAGGGAAGTAACGAGGAGGTTGTTGCAATATGCAGTGAGAAGCTAAGTCGGAATAAGGGAGCTAAGGGTGCAAGTGGGAATCCTGGTAGTATTACTATTTCTGAAGGCAGCACTGTATAGGGAAGCTTTTTAATGTTTAATGTTTTATTTTGTTTTTATATATGTTGGAAGCTGTCCAGTGGCATGGGTACAAATAAATTATTATTATTATTATTATTATTATTATTATTATTATTATTATTATTAGATGGGGTAGAGTGGGCTATCTGGGAAGAAGGAGTCTTAGAAGACGACTAGTTCTAATTACATTCTTATTAAATACTGTGGGTATTTTTGAGGAATAATGAAAACAAATACTGTTGCTAAGCCTGGGTAACTGTCAATAAAACTCACACTTCAAGAGTTTGAAAATCTACCTTTGTCATTCCTCCCCTCCCTTCCCCACAAGTAATTTCAGTGGCAATGAGTCTTTCCAGTACAGTCCAAAATATAATATTAATCTCTTTCCCCTACTCAGCTGAAAAGCAGAACAAATATACTCTTTTATAAGCCATTTTTTCCAAACATTTTAGACACTCTTTCTGGGTCACACCATTCAAAAACCTTTGACACCCATTTATAGGCAGGAAGACAGGATTTGTTGTCTTTGTTACTATTTTAATTTTCTTCCCAACCTGAACATAAAAGACTATGCCAGAGTATTAATTTGACCATAATTTGAAACAGAATACGGTACTTGAATAGATAGGTCTTTTCATCTAATCCAGCAAAGTAATATGTGTATTTTCATTGCTTGCCTGGTGTTTACTGCAAAATTTTACAAACTAATTTTTTTTCCTGGCAAGATTGAACAAGTATGCCTGTTCAAATATCTTTTAAGTTTTTAAAACTTCCAGGTGACTAGCTGCCTTACTGTGATGTGAACCAGTGTGTGTAGAAATGTTTTCTATGCTGTCAGCCTTCAGAGAAAAATGATTTTCAAATGTGATTATATATACCACTGGTAAAGCCTTAACAGGACACAGTAAAAGGGATTTAAGATTGGGGTGAAAAGGTTGTTTTCAAAGCAAAGTCTGTAAAATGGGTAACTGAAATGCTTCTGTCAGTTTTATATATGATTTTGATCTACCATTCCTGAAGCTTTCTTAAATTAGTTAATAAATGGTTGACTGTTTCCCCCCTTTTTTGTTGATAGGGAAAGTGGGACATGTGTGCTTTATTACTTATCTAATATCCTGAAGAAGAGTTCAAAATGTTTTCTACATAAAAGGAAAAAATTCAGGTACGACATGTCTATAATGATTTTTTGGGAAAAGGCTGCAGTTCTTAGAACTTGCCTTTAAAAGTTTTTATCCACATCTAATCATTTTGCAGCAGTAGGTTGTATGCATCTCTTTTCTTACAGCACACCAATAAAATGGAATTACAGAGATATTTGGTAGAGGCCAATGGAAGTCTAACATGAATTTTTAGTAATACGTTATTAAATCTTGTGTAGTGATAAAAGAAACCACAAATTGCACAAAATCATCGGCTGGTTAAGATTACATATCAAATGGATTTGATAGTCATTTCACTTTATTCCTTAAAAAAAAATAGCCAAGTGAAAGACTGGGTGTGGGAACTAGGAATTTGCTAGACTGTGATTATCATATATAAATCAAAGAAATATGGTTATAATATTAATCTAGGGAGCAGAGTGATCTAAATTCCATCTGGGGAATGGTGCAGCCACTGCTATATCCAGTGTTTTATTGCTCATGCCCACCAGGGTAGCAGGGAAAAGGTAGCTTTTGATGCTTATTTGTTGAGGGGGGCAAATTGGTGGCAGTAGGTGGGCATGCCTGCAGAACCCTAATCCCCTCCACAAGTGTGGGTGAAGGGGTAGTGATTCCCCCCCTTGCTGTTCCGTGTTTGTCATTTTGTTGTATTGGATATATATGTTTAGTTTATATTACGTATAAGCTTCTCTGAACATTCCCTTGGGGGGAAGAAGCAGAGTAAATCTAGTGAGTCAAAACAGAACCTGCATTTTCATCAGCAGACCAAGAGAAAAATTTACATGGAGTGGAGACACAAAAGCGGAACCTTTGAAGTGAGAGGTGTCTTACTGAAGTTTCCAATCGTCAGTGCTTTGAGTATTTGTAGATTTCACAGTTCCACAGGCTACCTTCTTTCCCTTGCCCTTGTGTTGCAGAACACCAAATTCTAGTTACCAAGATGGTTCCTTGACAATATAAAATGAGCCTTGCTGGGTGAGACAAAGGGCCTATCTAGTTCAATATCCTGTCTCCTATGTTGGCCAACCAGGTGTCAATGGGAAGCCTGCAAGCAGGAGTTCTGTGTTTTGTTTTTGGCTTAGTATCCTTTTTGAACCATAAAAATTTAAACTCTTGATAATGGATAACTGCCTCCTGGAAACCTACTTTCTGTTTTCTGAAGCATGTAGCATGAGTAGGTTTGTTGATATGAACAGTATAGGACTTGGGCTTTTACTAAATATTAGATATCTTCACACAGTGAAACTTGATGTGGGGAGCCCTAATTGTTTCCTGATTCTGCTTTGATGGCTGGCTTTTTCAAGTCACCATCTACCATCCTAGCCTACCTCATGGGGTACTTGCAAGGCTAACATGCTGCTCTTCAAGTGGGAAATCAGTAATGATTTTCAATATTGTGTGGTTTTTGTTTGAATCTTAAGTTGGTTTTTTATTTTAGGCCCACAGGATTGTGAAGTTGTAGTATGAATATGGGTGAAAAGAAACCAGAACCTTTGGATTTTGTAAAAGATTTTCAGGAATATCTGACACAGCAGACTCACCATGTGAACATGATTTCAGGCTCTGTTAGTGGGGACAAAGAAGCAGAGACTCTTCAGGGAGGTAGGTTCACCATGGTACAATTCAGCTTTCACCTTATTTAATTAAAAGGCTGGTTATTGTAGAGGGGAGCTTCTTTCCACCTGTCTCCCAATAGCCTGTTATAGTATGCAAACCAAGTACAATATAAAGGAAGAAACTTATTGGCGTTTCCCTTCTCTTTTTACAGCAGGGACAGAAGGTGATCAAAATGGACTAGATCATCCTTCGGTCGAAGTCTCACTGGATGAAAACTCTGGAGTGTTAGTAGATGGGTTTGAAAGAACTTTTGATGGAAAATTGAAATGTCGGTATTGTAACTATGCCAGCAAAGGAACAGCACGTCTCATAGAACATATCAGAATTCACACAGGTATGACTGAGTCTGCAGATTTTGTATCTCTCTGCTGGTGGTATATATACCTACACAAGCTTTCTTACTGTGTTAAACACGTGTTTTCCAGTCAGGAGAATTGTATCTATCTGTTAATGATCTTTCCCCTTCTATTTTTCCAGTAAGCAAACTTGATTCTTAAAATTTCAGCTAAATGTAGGAAAACCAGACTATATGAAATAACCTGTGTGACTGTCTAGGGAAATGGTTTTGCCAGCTCTAGATACTGCTTACACTTGCAATGTTGCTGATTCTTTTACTTGTTCAACTTACCCTATGTATCTTCTAGCATTTACTGGTCCTAAGACATGAACCATAAAACTCATCTCTTTCATTTGACTGTTGTTTGTCACAGCTAATTCTGTCCTGGTTTCCTCGCTGGCCCCAATAGGACTAATTTAGCCAGCTAGCCCTGGTGATCATCTCATGTTTATTGGATGGATTTCCCCCCTAAATTGATTTTTGAATTCTGACTTATTGTTATTCACGTTTTATACTGTTTTATGCTGTTTTTTGTTGCATCAATTAAGTGTTTTAAATTTGTTGTTAGCCACTCTGAGCCCGGTTTTCTGAACTGGGAAGGGCGGGGTATAAATAAACATTTATTTATTTTTAACTATTATTAAGGATTTTAAATGGTAGCTTTAGATATTGTAGTGCTCTGTGACCCAACTCTAGTCACTCTTCTTCCATTTGTTTCTTGCAAAACACATGGTATAAATACAATAAAATCTTGTATTCTTTCAGGTGAGAAACCGCACAGATGCCACTTATGCCCCTTTGCATCAGCATATGAACGTCACTTGGAAGCTCATATGCGATCGCATACAGGTGAAAAACCTTACAAATGTGAATTGTGTTCATTCCGCTGTAGTGACAGAAGCAACCTGTCTCACCACCGCAGGCGCAAACATAAAATGGTGCCTATAAAAGGTACAAGGCCTTCTCTTAGTAGCAAGAAGATGTGGGGTGTCTTGCAGAAAAAGACCAGTAACTTGGGGTATGGTCGAAGGGCGCTAATAAACTTGAGTCCACCTTCCATGGTGGTTCAGAAGCCGGACTACCTTAACGACTTTACTCATGAAATCCCAAACATTCAGACTGAAGCATATGAAAGTATGACAAAGCCAACAGAGACTGGTGGGTTACCAAGAGATTCACAAGACCTTATGGTAGATAACCCTTTAAACCAGCTATCTACTTTAGCAGGACAGTTGTCTAGCCTGCCCCCTGAAAACCAAAACCCACCCTCTCCTGATGTTGTACCATGTCAAGATGAAAAGCCTTTTATGATGCAGCAGCCGGCCGCGCCAGCAGCCGTTCCAGCGGTGTCGACCAGTATTCCTCAGAGTTCATCCCCTACAAGTCCTGATCCTCGCCCTGCACATTCTCAAAGAAACTACAGTCCAGTCGCAGGTCCCAGCAGCGACCACAGTGCTCATGCCAGCACCCCGAGCATAAGTAATAGCCAGCCAAGTACTCCAGCACCAACTCTTCCAGTTCAGGATCCTCAGCTTCTGCATCACTGCCAGCACTGTGATATGTATTTTGCTGACAATATTCTTTATACGATCCACATGGGATGTCATGGCTTTGAGAACCCTTTCCAGTGCAACATATGTGGTTGCAAATGTAAAAACAAGTATGACTTTGCTTGCCATTTTGCCAGAGGCCAACATAACCAGCATTGATTGAATATAAGTTATACCATGCATTCATTTATCTGTGTTTGTTTAAACACATTGCTGTCTGTCTCTTCGTTGCTACTGGAGAGGTTGCGTGCCCTTTTGGAGGAATCCAGTTAAGCAGATTTAACATCAAAGGCAATTACCTTTACACGCTTTCATGATTTGCTAGGGACGTGCTTGTTTACCATGGCGGCATTCTTTACATGGTTCCTAAAATAAGAATGAGGTTTGTAGTGCAATTATTATTATTACTATTAATGGAATCAGTGCAACACAATATATACTGACCTAACATAATGTGGATCTTGTCGATCAACACTTGTGTCCAAGCACTTAACAAATACTTAACATTAAGCTGAGCTACCGGAGTAGCCTTTAGTTTAATTCCGTCATACATAATGTACTCAGATATTTTCAGTGTAGAAGCTATATGCAACTGTGTATAAACTGACCATCCCGTAAACTGCTATAAAATATTGTGTAAAGAGTAAACAAAGATAAAGTTGATGTCTGCAACAAAGCTTAAATCTAGGAAAAGTTTAATTGCTGTGAGGCCTTTAATAAAGCTCCTGTGGTAATAGTGAGTCATGATGTGGAAAACTAGAAGAGTAAAAATGTGAAATAGGGAACAAAGACATCCACTTTCCATTACTGCTGACCCCCTTTTAAAGGAATACAAGGAACCAGTGCCTAGTATTAAATGTCTGTAATTTTTAAAACTGTGTGCAGAAAGAAAACATTGGAAGAAAATGGGTAATGTGTTAAAATACTGTACCATAATCTTCATACCTAGCTTGCATTGCATTGCAAAGAACTTCATTACCATTTAAATGCTTATGTGTAAGTTGTTTTGTCTTTACCTTCTGGTAGTAATGTTTTTACCTGAAAATGAAGTGGCAAGGAGGTTATGAGATTATGATAATCCATTCAGATTTCACATGGGTCATTTTATCTGTGAATGATGAATGTACTTCTTGAAAAGAGTGTCCTAGTCCAGGTAAACAGCAGTCAAAAGAAAACATTCCATACTAGGTTTTTTGTTATAGTTCTGGACTTGACAAAGCAAAAAGTTTATATGAGGAATCACTGACTAATTACAGTGGATAAAAACTCTAAGACATAGCAGTCAACTGTTTCTGCCTTGATCTAGATAAGTGAATAGGCACCTTAAACGAACTATGCTAGCAAAAACTATGGTGCTAGCTTACAGCACATGAATCCTTAATATACAGGGGAAAACACTTTGACATGCACTTTTATTGTATATCTTCGTTATTTTATTTTAAGGGAAAGAGAGGACTTTATACTGCTGTCACTTGATAAGAAGTAAATATGCACATGGACATACAAACTTACGACAGTGTGCTTTTATTGGTTTCGCATCCCAAAGTATGTGCCTTTGTGTGAGTAATGGTCAAGGATACCCCTGTCCATCTTCAGCTCTTTTGATAGAGGAGCGTTCTTCTGATAGCCAAAATAGGAGCACAGATTAGAAGAGTCCTCTTGAGTCAGTTAAGTCATCACTGGTCAGTGCAAAAGAAAAACCTTATCAGTAGGATCCTATCTCGTAAGATGTAAGAAATCTTACGCCAAAGTCTACTTGAGCAGTTGGGTCCCCCCCCCCACTCCTGTAGCCACATGGCACCACAAAGGTCCTAAACTATAATAAGGTGGAGGATGCACAGTATTTACTGAGGCAAACAGCACATAGTTTGAGCAGGATAGGCTGCTGGCACTGTACTTAAAGCAGACTAAAAAACTTACCTTCCCTTGTTGGAATTTTTTGTCTCTTTAAGTTTAGATTCATTTTTCAGAGGAAAAGCCCTCTTAAGCAGCTATATTTAAGACCTTAATTTCAGTTCCTGACATTCTCTTAGGTATCTTTCTCAAAGTTAATGTTCAGTGTTTTAATACATTTGTGTAACCGTACTCAATGTTTGCATTCCGACGTATAGAAGTATTTCGCCAGAATATTCTTGGAATTGCCTTCTGCCTCTCTAAAATGGCATAGCACCAAATTAGTCTTGCAACTCTAGTGCCATATATGTTGCACTCAGGAAGTCAGTGACAAACTTATCATTAGTCTTGTTTGATTGGGATTGCATGCTATGACAGCAGAGAACCTAAAATATACTATGTATGTTTTAATTACAGTGCTGGGTATGTTGAATGGACTAACACAGCTAAATAAAGGCTGCTTGTAAAAATCCTCACGTATATCTTAGCTGGGTCATCTTTATGAAATGTCTATAAATGATCTGATTGAATGAGATGTTGTAGAGCAATGGACAACAGCTGGGGGCAACTCCACTCCCAGCCTGTTCATGTCTTCCCTGGCCAAAACCAGACCAGCTGGTCTTAGCTGACCATGAAAGGGCAGCCATGCTGAGAAGGAAGACAAAGAGGCCAATTGACAGCATAGATAGGGCAAGAAGTGGCCATCAAATAAGGTCATGTTGAATAAGGGAGGGAAGGAGAAGCTTTATTGGGACATCTCTACTTTTTCCAGCACAGTGTGTTGGCAAACTCTGAATATTACTGTGTACTAGAAATACAAAATATTCTTTTTGCTGAATGTTACTGTGTACTGGACGCGGGTGGCGCTGTGGGTAAAACCTCAGCGCCTAGGACTTGCCGATCGCATGGTCGGCGGTTCGAATCCCCGCGGCGGGGTGCGCTTCCGTCGTTCGGTCCCAGCGCCTGCCAGCCTAGCAGTTCGAAAGCACCCCCGGGTGCAAGTAGATAAATAGGGACCGCTTACCAGCGGGAAGGTAAACGGCGTTCTGTGTGCTGCGCTGGCTCGCCAGATGCAGCTTGTCACGCTGGCCACGTGACCCGGAAGTGTCTCCGGACAGCGCTGGCCCCCGGCCTCTTGAGTGAGATGGGCGCACAACCCTAGAGTCTGGCAAGACTGGCCCGTACGGGCAGGGGGGTACCTTTTACTGTGTACTAGAAATACAAAATAGAATTGAGCCATAAAGGGGTATGGTCAGGGTCATAGCTTCTATTTTTGTAGAGTTCTTGTACTCCTTAAAGTCAGGCAGATAGTCAAGAGGTGAGGCTTGGAAACACGTAGATAACCTGAGCAATTGCTACAGGTCATGGCAGCTTTTGAAAACACGAGGCCACTGTTGCGGTGGGCAGTGGAAATGGAAACCCTGTGCACTACTGTTTTTTAGAGGCCTTTCAGCCAAAGAGCTAGTAGCGACACCTGAGCTGCAGCAGACACTTAGACTTAAACCAACAAGAAATGAGCTGGGACTAAAAGCAGATGAAGGCTCACAGATGATGTCACTTACCATTGGGATCTACAATGCCAAAATACTCAGGAATGTTAGTACAAGGTATACTAAGTACAATAGAGCCTTTACTGCTTCCACTAAGTAAGGCATAAGGATGGGATGTTGCAGACTCTGGCTTTACCACTGATACAGAGCAGCTCGTTTCAGTAACAAAACATGCAGGACTGGTGTTTTGAAAAAGCGTATTAGCCTCATTCTATGCTACAGCATCAAAATTAATTTCTAAACAACATTTTCCACATTCTTTCCCCATATTCAGGTCCCAAATAAGAAAAATTTCAATAAGAACTCTCTTAATTAAAGCAAAACAAAGCCTTAATGTTATAAGGAGCTTGCATTATGTTTTAATAGTTTCTCCAGATGAATTTCAGCTTCTGCATTCAGATAAACGACAATGTGTGAGAGATGGTGATTGAAACCACAGCCCATAACCCACTTATTTTCAAATTGTCAACATGGCTTTAGTGCCTCTGTGGATTGTGGATAGCTGCCTTACTAGGTTGCTCTATTACTACTGTTAACTTACTATTTTTAAACCCTTTGTTACTCACAGCACTGAAAACAAAAAGTGATATACAGTCATACCTTGGTTCATAAACGCCTTGCGAGTTGAACGTTTTGGCTTCCGAACGCCACAAACCCAGGAGTGAGTGTTCTGGTTTGCAAACGTTCTTTGGAAACCCAAACCTCTGATGCCGCTTCCAACTGGCTACAGCAGCTTCTGACACTTCCTACAGCCAGTTGGAAGTTGCGTGTTCGTTTCCGAACGTTTTTGAAGTCAAACAGACTTCTGGAACGGATTCCGTTCGACTTCCGAGGTACCACTGTACCTTTGATAGAAACAATTCACAAAATGTGGAATATATAGCTGGAAGTACTATATGCATACCCTTTGTAAATAAAAATGAAACAGCAGTCTGGGAAGCACTAGATGGAACAAATATGGAAAGGCACAATCCTCTTGATTCTGATGGTCTTTAATGTACAGTATTTTATAACAGTGCTAAAGTTACACACACAACTCAGCCAAATTGGTAAAGAAAAAGTGATTTATATGCATTGCATATGCAATATAACATTGTGCCACCAGATTGCATTGTAGAGTCCCGTTTTTATCTACAATACTTGTTTTCCCTATTTAAATTTACAACGCTTTTAACTGGAATGCTTCTTTAATGTGTCTAGATCCAGCCATTGTTTGCCCACTATGCCCCTTGCCCTCCAGTTGTTGGACTACAACTAACATCGTCCATTAGATCTTCAGCCATGCTAGTAGGGGCTGGTGGGACTTTGAAGTTTAATAACATCTGGGTCATATGTATGAGTCAATGATCCTGGCTGCAGACATATTTCAAATTATAGCAAGGGTAAATTTCACTGTATCTTTCTTCTCCTTATGGATCCTGAAGCTTCTTGGTACAACTGGTATTTTTGGCAGTCAGTCCGAACAGAGAGAGTGAGGGAATTGGCTCATTTTTTTCCAATGAGACATCAGATGCCAAATCTCAGCAATATCTAGTATTCTTGCCAAACCCACATGCCACAGCGTTATATCCCCCTTCACTGAATGTATAAAAATGCTACTACTTCTCACTTAAATATTTCTTAACAATGCCATCTGACTGTTGGCTGAATAAAGAGGTTACATTCATATTCAATTGGTTATTTTTCTCATTTTCTCTATGCCTCAAATCTTCCAAAAATTCCACTTTCAGCATATTTAGTTCATCTGCCAAGCTCTTCATCTCCTTTGGGGTAAGGTTATTATCTAGGGAAACAAAATATACAGCACATGGTGATTTACCTACTGTTATATTAAATTTATCTTAAACCAGGCAGAGAGCCTTCTCAGTAGCGGTGCCCACCCTGTGGAACACCCTCCCATCAGATGTCAATTAAATAAACAACTATCTGACTTTTAGAAGACAACTGAAGGCATCCCTGTTTAGGGAAGTTTTTAATGTTTGATGCTTTATCGTGTTTTTAGTATTCTGTTGGGAGCTGCCCAGAGGGGCTGAGGAGACCCAGCCACATGGGTGGGATATAAATATTATTATTATTATTATTATTATTATTATTTTAAAGGGGACGGAAGATCAAAAGTTTAAGAGGTTTAAGCAAAGCCACTATTTTTTTGAAAATGAATAGAGGCTTACCTCCTCAGGAGTGGGATCTCCAAAAGAGGAATCTTCAGAGATAGAGGACAACTGGCATGTATAGGGCCTTTGTGCATAAACAGTGTCTTTAAATAAACCGCTGCGGATGTATGGTTTTGTTGCACTGTGCCTTTCTAATTTAAGTGCATGCAAAGCAAGTTAAGCAACCTCTTGCAAATAAGCATACCTTTAGCAGTCTTCATGGTCTGAGAGACAGCTCGCCTGACGGCCTGGTCTGCTTGATGAAGAACACTGGCTGCACAAATAGCTCGATCCATTTCCTAGCCGCAATCAACAAGAAAAAATGTTTTTAGAACTGGGCTCATATCTATCTATCTATCTATCTATCTTCAAAGGGTAAATTTGGGCATTATGAGCACATGCACTAACTGGGGTGAGCTTTGTGCACCTTCCTTCTTGCATAAAGGGAGGAGAGTTGAAGCTTCCAAAAAATTTTTGCACTTTCAGACAAGTGTGAAACTACACAGAGGGAATTTCGGTACAAAGCACTCTTGACGTTTGCCATAAGAACCTCTACTGAACATTCTCCACTTTTCAGAAATGCTGTGACACAAGAAAGCTTACAACCATAAGACATGTGAAGACACTTTGATTCAGTGAAATGAGGTGAAAGAAGGCAGACTTCCCTCTTGTCTGCTACAGAAGGCTAGCACTCATTTCCTTTGCCATCCATTGTTGACAATGGGACCTGATGGTTCTGGTAGTTCTCTCAGTTACAGCCACCAAGTTGTCCCATACAGAGTAGACCAATTGAAACGAATAAAGTTAAGTTAGACATGATTATGAACTTCAGTGGGTTTACTCTGAGTTAGACTACCATTGGGTGGGATTCATCTAATGAACCCCACTAGCAAAAGCTCTGCATAATGACTTCCACTTGTACAGTGAGCCTTCCCCTATACCCCATTGGGGGGGGCGTGTCAGGAGAACCCCCAGAACTGTGTATGACAGGGGAAATTATTCAGTCTGGAAAGCTGATATGCTTGTGCAGATGGAGTGTTCTAATGGCACAACACTGAATTCCACCAATTGTCTTTACAGCACAAACTCCTTTTTTATGAGCAGAAAGTGATTCTTAGATTTCCTGTGTAGGAAACATTCTCCTCCAAAGTGGACAATTCTCCACTGGTGGATTATTTTCAGCAGAAGTGCCAGGCATCAAATGTCTATTTTATTACCTATGTAATAGTTCCAAATTACCTTTACTTCTGTATTCTCTTCCAGGGGTTTCACTGGATTTTCCAGAGCAGTAGATAGCAAATCAAGCACTTGAAGACTGAAAAAGTCAAGAAAACAAAAATGTTAAAGAAAGACTAACTATGCACATGCAATGTAAGCACTCGCCTAAGGATGGGACACTGGCATCACAGAAGTGTCCAAGGCAAGAATTTTGCTGAAATCAATGAGGTTGGACAGCAGAGAAAAGAGTGAGCAAAGCGTAAATTGGGATCTAATCTTGGATCTCGGGGTGAGCCGCAGTAGATTGGCAAGGGTTTCTTTTGTTTTCTGATTCTCTTTTTTTATATATACAATAATTTTTATAAGTTTTCAGTTAGAATAATCCAATGGTAGCCTCATTATAACATTGCCAAATTATAATACAATTACTAAACCCAACCATTCAGATGCCGAATTATATACCGTATTTTTTGCACCATAACACTCACTTTTTTCCTCCTAGAAAGTAAGGGGAAATGTCTGTGCGTGTTATGGAGCGAATGCCTGCGGGTGGCGGGGGGATCTGCTGCAGTCGTGAGCAGAGGATCCATGGTTCCCCTTCCTTCCCTCCTCCGTAGTTACAAAGCATGGATCCACATGGATCCTCAGGATTTTTGCATTGGGCTACTCCAAACTCACTGTCAGATCACATGTCTGTGGCCACAGCATGAACCACAAAAATCATATATCCACTATTTCGTTTAGAATATTTTTTTTCTTGTTTTCCTCCTCCCAAAAGTACGTGCGTGTTATGGTCCGGTGCATGTTATAGAGCGAAAAATATGGTAATTTAGGTGGCCTCCCATTTGCTAGAATTGATGGTTTGGTGATTTACTTCATAGTTCTGTGTTCCAAAATTTTATTCATCTCAGTTGCAATCCAGTCAAAATAACAATCCCGTATACAACTGTAACATTAACAACACCCATTCGTCACACAGGATGTTGCCTTGCATTGAGTCAGACCATTGGCCGATCTAGTTCAGCTTTTGTCTACACTGACAGGCAGCAGTTCTCCAGAGTTTCAGACAGCCCTGCCTGGAGATGCTGGGGATTGAAGTAGGGACCTTCTACATGCTCAGCACGTGTACTATCACTGAGCTATGTCCCTTTCCACAGCTAGGTGCCCTGCAACAAAGCTATTCCAAGGTAAATATCAATGAACAGAGAAGCGCTGCACAACTCCAGAGTTCTACACTCTGCTAGGCCCACAGATGTCTGTGAAGCCTCCATTTAATTCAATGTAAATAATTGCTTTCATACATACTTATCTTCTACTGAACATTCTGTAGTCTTCAGAATGAGGCTATTCTGCTCCCAGGCGTATTTCTCTGGATTTGGAACTTCCATTTTTTGCACCATTGCATGGATGGTTTCTTCAGGTAATGGTTGTTTTCTCTGACTGTTTCTCTCTAAACAAACATCAGCCTGACAATCTAAGAACAACTGACAGAAGCCCAGGGTATCTAGACAAATATAAAAATATTCCTGGATGATAAGAGGGTCATTTTAATCTCACCATGGTTTCTGAAAAGTGTAGGCATAACACACACACAGGAATTTTGCACAAAATAAGGTGGTCTTCTGTATCACCATGAAGTAAGGATGTGGGATCCTAAGTATTTCAGAGTTTAGTATTCATTATAAATAGAGCTTGCACAAGACTATGTAACACAGATTCTCAAAGACCTGTTTTGGTTGCCTATTTGCCACCAAGGCCAATGGGATTCCCTGAAAAAATAATGACATATGCACCAGGCAAAGCTGCCTGATGAGAGTTTTCCACAAGAGGGCACTGCAACTGAAAAGGCGCGGGCAGCAGCAGCAGCAAGATGTTATTGTCCAGGTGGCTGCTATGGTGGCAGGTAATCCTCCAGGTATCCTAGCCCCAAGCCATTAGGGCTTTCTAGGTAAAAATTATCACTCTGGAAACAGACCAGAAGCCAGTGAAGTTATTCAAACACTTTTGAAATGTGATCCCAACTTCTGGTACGAGTTAGCAGCCCGGCAGCTATGCTTTGAACTAACTTGCAATTTCCAAACTGCCTTCTGTAACACGTTGCAGTAATCTATTCCGGAAGTTACCAGAACTTGGACTGCTGTACATGTCCAGAGGCAGGTGTACCAGCCTCAGCTTGTGGAAGGCACTCTGTGCCACACAGACAAACTCTTGTTCTTCCGGTGACAAAGCTGGGGACAACAAGCACCTCAAGATGCAAACTCGATCCTTCAAGGAGAGGGCAGCTATATCTATAACTAGTGAGCACCACCTTCCCACACAAACTACCCACCAACAGTATCTCAGCAATCCAGTCCATTACTGAGCCCAGACACCAGTTCAACGCTCATCAGAATCAGATGTAAAAGAAAGATGGTGCATATGAACTCCCAACTCCAAAATATTGGATGCCCTTGCAGTGATTGATCTAAATATTAAAAGGGGCGGGGGGGGGGGGAGATGAAGCCCTATGGAATGATATAAAATAAATGTACCAAGAACCCAAGCTGTCATTATCCAGGACCACTTTCTGAAATTAGCTACTCAGTTAGGAACTAAGCCATTGCTATTCAGGGCCTCCAGTTTCTAAACCAGCTACCCTGTTCAGGAGGAAATAGTCCAGAAAACAATTGAAAGTTCCAGACAAATTGGCTTGGTTCTATTCTCCATGTCTCGTTCCTGGCATTGGTCATGGCAGGTGGAAGGAAACCGACATCTGCAAGGAGTACAATCCCAGCTTCACTACCAATGCAGAAATGGCCAGTTCTGTATCACAAGTTGCTGCCCGGAATGCTATCATAGTTTAGGTGTTTTATGTAGCAGATTATTAATCTTTGGGACAGATAGGAATCCCTAAGAAACAACAAGAGAACTTTGTTCTCTGCACAACAAGGATAGGAATCCCTTTTAGCCATAACATCCCAAATCATGGTTTGCACTGCTGAGTCATAAGGCTGAGCTGCTACCTTAAAATATAATATCAAACTTACACTGGCGAGCTAACTGGTACACTTCATATCTCATACTCCGATAATAAAAGTTGTCATCTAAAATAAAATATATTGGTCTGAGAGGGATAAAATCTATTAAATATTGACAAGATGCAGAGTCTTCAGTTCCTGTTCTTGGATATATTAATTCTTGTTCTTTCAGATAGCAGGCAAACCTTTTCCATGTTGTTTCAGTTCTGTTTGGAGGAGGAGAATAATGGCATCCTTTAATAAAATTTTGAAGGAAATGTTCAAGATACAGCAATAATTCATGACGATACAATCTCCAGTGTGACATCTATAAAGTAAAAAGACAATTATTCATTGTTAGAGTGCAAGATATTGGATAAAAACTGGAACCATTAAAAGCAACGAAGGTTTTGCTATTGGCTGCAGTGTTAAATGGACAGCATTTGTCCTCTTCATATTTTAGATGATTTGCTATTCTTTCTTAGCATCAATCATGCCTATAATTCTCTGCATGGCCCACCCATGCCATTTTAACCAAAACTCTTCTCTCCTTACAGGCATTGTGCTGCATAATCCCAGTTTAATATAATATGCTGCTACCAGTCTTCCCAACTATTAGTGTAACTACCACAAAACAATTGTTACTCTTGCAACAAACATGCTAACCCCTCTACAATGCATGTAAGTAGTAACTCCAGCAGGGTAACCATGTGAAAATCAAATAGTAATAATTACACACTATTAAGTTTTTATATACTACCACAAATCAACAACAGATTGAGTAGTACACTTATTCAATCACAGAAGGTAATTTAGCCTTTTATCTTTCGTTTTTCTTTTGGTGCCTTAAAGGCCAACAGATTTATAGCACAACCCTAACCATGCCTACTCAGAAGGAAGTCCTACTGAATTCTCCCAGGTAAGAGGAGTTAGGATTGCAGTCCTATTGCAGTGTAAATTTCATGGACTTCACTGAAGCCACAGGAATGTTCAAGAAGGGCTTATTTTGCAGCAAATTTGTCTTTAAGGTAATAAAAAACTCTTGGTTGTTTCTGCAAATGAATATTAAGTAATTTCACATCTTCTAAACAGCTTGTGTTATCAACAAATGCCCAGACTGAACTGACTGCTTTGCGAAATACCACCACCACTGGTTTATTTATGTATTGCCTTTCAGCCCAAAGGGCCCTGAACCAGCAACCAGCATACTGAAATACTGTAAAACAAGACATAACACTATGCTGGTTTATCAGTCCGTACAGGAGGATCAAAACAGCAAAATGTTAAGATTCAGAAAGGGAACTTTCAGCAGAAAATAATAGGAAACAAGATGCCTTTTAAAAATTTGCAGGGAAGTCTTGCTTAACTTCATGTTACTAAAATATACATAGATGCTTTAAAAACGAGCTCACTTTTCCGGATGCAAATTGAAATACGCAAAACCTTCTGCCGGCAGCTGGAGCGAATCACAGCCGATTTAGAATGGTAACTTTTGTCATTTATCGCTGCCATGCTACAGCAGATTACTTTAATAAAGGACGTGGGTGGCGCTGTGGATTAAACCACAGAGACTAGGACTTGCCGATCAGAAGGTCAGCGGTTCGAATCCCCGCAATGGGGTGAGCTCCCATTGCTCGGTGCCTGCTCCTGCCAACCTAGTAGTTCGAAAGCACGTCAAAGTGCAAGTAGATAAATAGGTACCGCTCCGGCAGGAAGGTAAACGGCGTTTCCGTGCGCTGCTCTGGTTCGCCAGAAGCGGCTTAGTCATGCTGGCCACATGACCCGGAAGCTGTCTGCGGACAAACGCCGGCTCCCTCGGCCTATAGAGACCCCAGAGTTGTCCGCAACTGGACCTAATGGTCAGGGGTCCCTTTACCTTTACCTTTAATAGGCTCCCTCAATACCCAGATTTTTTTTTACTATTTTAGCAAACTTGGTGAGCGCCTCCTCAAGGCAAACCCCGCAGCTGACCCTAAAGCAGCAGATCTTCTAGCTGGATTCAGCTGCGAGGCGTCAGAAGGAAAAGGATCCTTGGCAATGACAGCGGTAGGAAGCTCGCACAGCGGCTGAAAATTAAAGCTGGGGCGCATCCTGCTGCCCACCTGGAGCTGCTGTGCTACCACTGAAAGATCCCGCGGGCAAGAGAAGACCTTTCCCTGGCCAATGAGAATCGCAAGACCACATTGGCCAATAAGGAGCAGGGGGGGAGGCTACTGACCAACGGCTGCTGCTCGCGCTGTCCCGAGCTCTCCTTTGATTGGTCGAACGCTTCCGGAGGGATGAGGTCGTCGTAAGCGAGGGGGACGCAGCGCCACCCTTTGCGCTCCCTCAGGACCCGGCTCAGGGCCTGCGCCGTCGTCGTTTTACCCGCGGCAGGTAAACCGCAAAGCAAGCAGAGCCCCAGCTGGTGGCCTCCGGCGCGCCGTAGCTCTTCCGCCATGAGGCCCCGCGCTTCGTGCCCCGCGCGTTAAAACTCCCGTGCCTGGAGGGGACCGACGGCTCTCAGTTCTGCGCTTGCGCAGTTGACTCCGCGCGCTAGCACTGCGCAGGCGCGCTGGGGAGGGACTTCGGCGCAGGGAGTTCTAAAGAGACAGGGCTTCCTCCTACTTCCGCGCACCAGACTTCCGGGTTGCTTTCGACGCTGGGCTCTAGAGGGGTAAAAGCGGCCGTTGCACGTAGGAGACAAGCGGGGAGCCCCGGCACCCCTTTGTCGCTTGCAGTGATTGGGCAGCAGTTTAGGGTGGCCACATGCAATAGAGGACAAGGCAAGTTGGTTCCGATTGTTGGTTGCGCTGTGAGTTGCTTTTAATGAAAACTGCTAAACGGTATTGATAGAGCAGGCATAGCGATTTTTTTATGAAAATGAATTACATTTCTAATGATTTTTCAAAGAGTTGTTGCTTTTAAGTATTACCAACTTCCAGTAAAAGAAACGCGTGCAAATTAAATAGCAAAGTATTTTAATTCTTACAAAATAGTTCACGGAGATTGCTATTGAAATACAACAGTGTAAAGTACCGGCATTTTTCTGCCGGTATTTAATAGCGATTTGTGCAAAACTGCATATAAAATGGTTATAGGTATTAGAAAAAGTAGGTGTTGAAAAGTATTGTTAGAAGTTTGATTTCTGTTGGCATTTTAGAACCTGTAAGCAAACGTTACAGCCCCCATTCTCAGAAAAATGAGCTGAACTGTGGGGGTTAAAACCCCATGTTGGGCAAAAAAATTCCTGCATTACAGGGGGTGGAATAGATAATCCTTGTAGTCCCTTCCAACTCTGATTTGGCAGACATCTTCATTAAAGTGTTTTAAATGTCTGCTAAAACTTCCAGGAAGCCTATCTGGGCATATAATTTCATTGTGTATTACTCATTTTTAAATGCTACTGCTTTTATCTATTGCTAATTATTTTATTGCTTTATATACACTGCTTAGATATATTTTTTTTGAGCCAGCAAAATCTTATATTCAAATAAATACCCGTACAAATAATTTACTGTTTCTAACAATATAGCATTCACAGCAATCGGATTGTACATTCATTCACCTCCAAAACAAAAATACTGTGGAATGGGTGTGATTAGGTATGATTTTGACAGTGTGAGCTGTTCCTACAATATTGTAACCAAGATCTAAATTCCTATATATTAAAATTAAATAAGGAGGATGCATAATTATGCCCCCTGCCACAGGTTTGGAATATAGAAATGGAAGACCAGACCATTAATTTAGGAGTACTTTGCCTAATTTAGTGCAAAAAGGCATATTGAAAAATATCCATTTACAGTATTTTGGAACTTAATAACTGTGAACTTGGGCAATACCAGCTGAGGACAAACAACATTGGAATCAGCTCCTATTCTCAAACAAATTAATGTCCACTTTGCCAACCATGTAATTAGCACTCAGGGTCTGCAAAATCCTGCCCCCGACCCAATTTTCAGTATCAGTTCTACCTCCATGCACTTCCTTTGGTTCTGCACTCTCAATTCCATGCATTGGCCACCCCCTTAGTGAATAACTCAGAAAATGGTGTCCCCCCCCTCATTGTTTTTCATTCACAGTTTGTTTTATGTTTAAAGCAGCTGAATTTTAAGGAACAATTATTCACAGAAAAGCTGTGGGCAAAGCTAGATGCAGCATTAAGTGCATCATTAGAACTCGTGTCATGTTTTAAATATATATAAAATGGGCGTGTAGGGGAGTGATTTCCATCAGGATTGCAGTATAGTGGAGGATAGGTTTCACCTCTCTTTCCTCAGCTATGAAAATAGCCTTAGGGCAGGTGTCCTCAAACTCGGCCCTCCAGATGTTTTGAGACTACAATTCCCATCATTCCTGACCACTGGTCCTGCTAGCTAAGGATCATGGGAGTTGTAGGCCAAAAACATCTGGAGGCCCGAGTTTGAGGAAGCCTGCTTTAGGGTGAAAGCTGCCTTTGTCATCAATGAGAGCTTTTTTCTAAGGCTAGCAGCTGTGCCTTTAGGTGTGTTTTGTGTGCAAGCTATTTTAATCAAGACCTCCATTTCTTGTGTGCTGCAATCCCAGTGGTAAATCAACCCTTGTGCATCCTTTAAAAAAAGATATTAAAATTTGGAAACCTAAAATGATTTCTAATTAGACATTTAGCATTGCATCAGTTTGGCCCTGTGTTGGGAGGGATGTATTTATGTATATGTCCTGATGGCTAATGTGACACAACACAAACAGTATTCTGCTGTCTAATACATGAGTTCTGAGACGGGTCCATGGACCACCAGTGGTCTACAAACTTTGTTTAGGTGGTCCGTGTGTCAGTATTAAATAATAATACTGATTTTAGATGCATTTTTATTGCTGCTTTAATTTCTTATATTGTATTTTAGTGCATTGTAATAGAGTACAGTGGTGCCTCGCAAGACGAAATTAATTCGTTCCGCGAGTTTTGTCGTCTTGCGATTTTTTCCGTCTTGCGAAGCACGGTGTCGGGAAAGTTTTGGAAAAGCTTCAAAAATCACCGAAGTCTTTAAAAACCTCAAAAAAGCTTACCACACCGCGTTCTATGAGTTGCTCCTCGAAGTCAAGTCGCAACTGTATTAACGGTGTTAAGAAAAAGGAAACAAACTTGCAAGACATTTCCGTCTTGCGAAGCAAGCCCATAGGGGAAATCGTCTTGCGAAGCAGCTCAAAAAATAAAAAACCCTTTCGTCTTGCGAGTTTTTTGTCTTGCGAGGCATTCGTCTTGCGAGGTACCACTGTAATGCCATAAAATACAATAGAAGAAGCAATAAAAATACAATTTAAAAATCATACAGCATCTAGCACAGCACATTACCATCATTATAACAGGCAAAAAAATAATCATTCAATGGGCCATCAATACCCTCAGCAATTTTCAAGTGGTCTGCAGGGAAAAAAATGTTGGGAATCACTGATCTAATGATTAAGGCAGTCTTAGTCTATCTAGAGATTCAGGGGGGGAAATCCCATATTCTTTTGTTACTGTTCCAACAGTTTTTTTTAGAAATTAAAATGAGGTCTTCACTTGTATATCGATAAAAATAATACTTTCAAAAATATGTAACAGGTTTAGCACTGGCACATTTCTGCTACCCTCTTAGATGTTTAATGTGTCCATCTAACCCTCTTGAGAATTTCTCAGGATGGAGTTGCGTAAACAGGTCTGGGTGGGATTGGTGGTCGTAAAGGAGGTCTTGATGGACGTGGCCCAAGGTTTGCTTGTATGGGTGGCCTAAAGGAGATAAAATGCAGTATTAGTAGTGTGTGTTTGGTGGCATATTTCAGAGGCTGGTCAATAGAGATAGACATTCTAGAAACATAATGAATACTTCTACCTCCCTCCCTCCTTCCTTACTTATTTTGACAATATCCTCTGTATGAATGATAGCTACTCTGCCAGAGTTCTACCCCTTTATGCCATGGGTAGGCAACAAGGTACCCTTGTTTTAACCCCAACTCCCATCAGCCCCAGCCAGCATAGCCAATGCTCAGGAATGATGGGAATTGTACTCCAATAACATTCTGGAACGAACCACGATTGGTTACCGCCTCATGCACATCAACTGCGCACTCTTTGCACAAGTGAAGCCACAGATAAATAGAGGTGAACAGGAGAAACGGGCAAAATACTGCTGAAGCCCTTGCTGATATTCCCACCAGGGAACCCAGGATTAAAGAAACCTTTCCCTGGATATTGACTCTCTGAGAAGGGATTCAGTGGGCAGCTCAAATGTTGCTGAATCTCCAGTCTTTGCTCAGTTTAAATGTTTGCCCCGATTGTAGGCACAGATGCCTGTAAAATTATGCTAAAAAGATTTAAAAGTGCAAACCTTGGAGCAGGAAAGTGTGATATCGTAAAGATTCCAGAATTTGACGTCGTAGGCTGCAGAGGGAAAAGAAATATATCGTAAGGAGAATTAATGGTTCTTACCACAGCAGTGAAACTTACTGCATCTTTTCATTCTAGCAAAATACCATGCACTGTTTTAATGTAACTGATCTAACCTTCTGCAGAATTGCATTTCTGAATGGAAAATCATTGTCAAATTCACAGCGCCTATGGAGAGCCGAAACATTAGCCCAAACTTCATTCATCAGCAGTAACTTCAAAGAAGACATTGCAATGAAAAAAATAAACATTCTTACCCGCCTATTATTTACTGGTGGCTTTGGTCCACCTGGAGTGCTGCTTTGTCCTGTTTGCCGTGCATTTTCAGCCCTTAAAACAATGTAAACAGGTAGGTTAAAATAATACATGTCTTTCTCCATTAAATATTCAATTTGGTTCTGGTACACACAATCTTCTGGGAGAAGGCAGTCCAAAGCCCTGGGGCCACAACTGATTTTCATTATTTTAGATACAGTATTGCTGCTGTTCACTGTTTTAACACTGCCTGTCTTAACCTTGTCACAGATGCAGCACACATTTCTGGTTTTTAAAAATCGATCTTATTCTTTTCATACCTTTGGCGCCTTCTCCGTCCTCTGAAAATACGTCTTTTAATTGCATCCCTCTTGACAATTGCAACCGCTACTATAATTAGCAGAGGCAACACAAGCAGAAAAAACACCAGCAGGCCATCACGAAGTGATGTATCTAAAGGAGAAAAGGCAATGAAAATTACTTGTTTTGCTTTTAATTTAGGATTAATGTCATGGTGCAGCAGAAGAGAAGGTTCCGCATCCAGCACCACCTTCTTCATACCCAGCCTAATCCCTATGGCTCAGGGATTCCAAAATTTAGGTCTCCAGCTGTTTTTGGACTACAACTCCCATAATCCCTAGCTAGCAGGACCAATGGTCAGGGATGGTGGGAATTGTAGTCCAAAACAGCTGGAGGGCCGAGTTTGGGAAACCCTGCTCTAGCTCATTCTTACCTATGTGAGTTGGGCCACTGTCTATGCTACCACCGTATCCAGATTTGTCACAATAAGGAGGTGCCCATCCAGGATCACAGTGACAATTGCCTTTGTTGTTACATACCTACAGGAAAGAAGGACCAAAAAAGAGGTGAAGAATTAGGCTAGGGATGGTGAAGCTGTTGGTCAGGGATGATGGGAGCAGAAGTCTAGGAACAAACAGAGGGTTCTCCACCCCTGCATTAGGCACCATTATGTTCTGACTTCCTTGAGGAAATGCTATGATGAACAGCTTTCCTTGACTTCGGAAGAAAAAACGCAATGAGTACCACCAGAGCAAACGACAGATATGTATGCTATGGAATAAAGAGCATGGGCCTGATTTAGTGATATGCCATTTCTAAATACGTTCCATGATGCTAACATTGTCTGGCTCCAGATTGTGTCTGCTGAAACCAGCAGCATGCATGATAGTTCCCACGTATAAAACAGGTGGGCTGCCAAATATTTTAATGGTTCTTAAATGTTTCTAATTGTTGCTGCTAATCATTTTAATATTTCTTGTAAGCTGCTTAGAGATTTTGCTATAATCAAGTTGTATATAAATTTTGTTAAATAAAAAACTGTTTTCTTATTTTATTAAATTTATATCGCACCTTTTCTCCCAAAGGAGCTCAGGGTGGCATGGTTTGGTGCTGCTGTGCAGATACATGGGAAAAGAGCACTAAAACAGGTTCAGAATTACGATTCTGTATAGTGCAGAATCCTGATTTTGAAACTGGTCTGAAAGCCATACTAAGAGGGCTTCACAAAATTGATGGCGAGATGCAGGAAATAGCTATTCAAACCACATGCTGCCCACTCTTTTACAGCAGTTGTTTCTGGTGGCAATAAAGACTGCAAGAAAATCTTCTCAATAGCTGAACTGTTTTTATAGCCAGAATATTGGAATATTTTTTCTGCTCTACCACTGGAATAATAGGATCATCATTTTCTTACTTACTGCACGGTCATTGCATGTTTTCTTTACATCACAATTGTAGCCAAGCAGGCTTGCATTGACACACTTGAAATCAACACAGGCCTGAAAAAAGAAAAAGGAACGCAAGCTTTAAAGTTGGAAAGTATGTCTTTAAAAATACCAAAGTGTAATGCAGAAACAACGGGCAGGCTCAGACTTCACGCTAAATCATAAGTTTGGATGTAACACTAAACCATAGCTTAGAATTACTTGCACGAACCACAATAAGCCTTGGGCTCACACCATCCCTCCTTCCCCTGAACAACTCTTTTGCAACCAAGCAAAGGAGAGCAAAAGATTTCACATTCAACTATTTATTATTTGCTGCATTTATATCCCACCTCTTTACTCTCCAAGGAGCTCAAGGTGGTATACATGGGTCTTCCTCTCCTCATTTAATCCCCACAGCAACCCTGTGAGGTACCGGTAGGTTAAGCTGAGAGGCAACGACTGGCCCAAGGTCCCCCTGCGAGCTTCATGGTTGAATGGGGATTTGAACCCTTGTCTCCCAGGTCTTGGTCCAGCACCGTAACCACTGCGCCACACCTTTGTGCTGGAATGTGAGGAAGTCTGGATACTTTAAACTCTAGTTGGTTCAAGCAAGCTAGAATCACATCGCGGTTTAGGATTCTGATTTGTTTGGGTAGCCAGTGTTTTAACTAACCAGTGGGAGACTCTGCTAAGTTTAAAGATGGAAGTGGATGCTTCAAATCTCATCCTCTGGTGTGTGCTAGAGAGGGAAGGAGGCTGGGTGCCAGCATGAGGCTTGCTGCAGCCTGTGCATATAACTAACAATGGCTTAACATTACAGTGGTACCTCGGGTTAAGAACTTAATTCGTTCTGGAAGTCCGTTCATAACCTGAAACTGTTCTTAACCTGAAGCACCACTTTAGCTAATGGGGCCTCGTGCCGCCGGCGCACAATTTCTGTTCTCATCCTGAAGCAAAGTTCTTAACCCGAGGTACTATTTCTGGGTTAGCAGAGTCTGTAACCTGAAGCATCTGTAACCCGAGGTACCACTGTAGTTATAATAACAAAAGTGTGGCCAAAACCCAGATACCTGCAATCAGGTAACTTGCCAGACAGGAGATAAACAACGCACTCAGATTTCTGTTGTGGACCACCTTTTCTGTGATGTAGGTATGATGTATCTGGGGTGGTGGTCTTGGGCTACACCCCAAGGTAACCCGAGGTACCACTGTACATCTGAAACCTGAAGCACACAATTAAGGAACCGGTTTCTGTGGATGGTTTATTATAAGGTTTCCATGAGATACAAATTGGCTTTTTGTTCCCAGGCATGGCATCTGTGTCTTCTAAAGCTATATGGCAGGTAGCAAGTGAATAGCGGCAACTGTGGAATTGCTGCTTGTCAGGGGATAGGGTTAGAAAAAAATGGTTGACAATACAGACAGGCAGTTTTGGAAATACAGACATAACTCGGACTGTAATTGAATCCTGTTTGCAGCTATATCCTTGAGCAGGGAATTGGTGATGTGAAGGACACTCTCTTACCTTCCCTTCTGCACAAGCTGTGCCTCTGTTAACCAAAGCTGGATCGGGAACATCTGATCCCAGAGCAAAATCAGTAGTCACACACCTAACGCCATTTTGAATCTGGCTGTATATCTGGGATGGAAGATTCTGTTGACTGACAGATGTGCAGTGAATCTTGCCACATAGGCTATTGCTGCAATAAAAATGAAATACAAAAATTAAGAAAGTAGGGAACACCAGAGTAAATATCAAAATACCCCCCATCTTCTAATGTTTATACAAGCATACATGCTTTTGTTTGCTCCAGTTTTTAAAATGTCACTAATCACATGTCTGTACAAACTAGATGATCCATATTAGCAGTTTAACAGCGTAAAGTCTGGACCACATGTATCAGCTTCAGAGCAGCTATCCTGCATGGTTTATAAAGCTGTGGGAAAGCGCTGTGGCCATGTGTTTCTTCTTCCCATTGTGTGCCAGCTGCTCGACAGTCCTGCATTAATCCAGAGTTCCCTGTTACATCCAAACTGGGGGACTCTGGCTTAATATCATTTAACTAATGGGGATAATAAACCAGGATTGTATTCCGATTTGTTAACCAGCATTAAGCTGGGGTCCCCTGCTTTAAACAGAATGGCTTGATGCCAACTAGAATCTGTGTCAAAACCAATGCATGATGGTAAAAGGGGAAGTGTGAGAGATGAGCATCAGTGGTGAACTTTGGGCCCTGTGTGATGCTAAAATTCAGCACCCCTGCCTCTTGCACTCCATTCTAAAAGCATTATTTTGTCACCCTCTGCAGCGTGGCACCCAGTGTGACTGCACCAGTCAAACCACCTAAAACCGCCTCTGTGCTTGGCTACAGTTTCATAAACCATGGTTCATAAACCATCAGGGTTTCAGCTTCCATGAACCAACAGAGTATAAATATGACTTCCTGAGTACTTACGCTTGAGAACATTTAACAAACTCTCCTTTTGACATTCCACAGTTGCCGAGCCTGTCTCCATTACTATTGGCTGTTTCAAAACACGCATTTGGCCCTTTCTTTGCTCCTATAAAAACAACAGAACCGTATTTGTCAAAAAATAGTCTGTTTTCTTAATGTGTAACATAGCTGTTTCTGCTAACAATATCAGTTGTGTTACACGGGCTATAAACCGTTTAAAACATACCCTTTCCAAAGAGGGATTCACACTGAGAATCATAATTCTGACAAATTCCAGCATAGCAATAGTCTTTCATATCGTTGCATGGGTAGCCATCCATGATATACACATCATCTGGGCAGTTGGGATATGTTCCATTGCAATACTCAGGGAGATCACAGGCAGTCATTTTTGGCCTGCACTGCACTCCTGCAACCTTGAACTAGAAAACAGAATTTTATTTATTTCGTTTGCTTGGTAACCATAACAAAAATGCTATAACAATACGTGGAACTGACACGGGAGAAAGAGGAGTAAAAATGCCCATGACAGAAGCTTGTAAAAAGGGAGAAGAGGCAGGAACAATTCCTAGTGCTCAGCTTCAATAAAAGGGTAAGTTGATAGGGTTGCTAGCTATACTGAAGGAAATATGGCAGAAGGTGCTGTTGTTCCAAGCATGGCAAAAAAAAAAAAAAAAGGCAAGAAGCAGGGCCAGCCCAGTAAATTTTGCTGCCTGAGGGGAAGAACAAGATGGAGCTCTCTGAACACTTCCCACCCCCACCAATTCCATGTTCTGAAACCAGGGATGTTGGCGAATTCTGCAAGAAATGCAAGCAGAAATTGCAGGTGTTTGCTTATTCATCCTATATCTGGAACAGAAATTGATGCAGGATGCAATCGGTATTCGCCATTGGTGCTGTTTTCAATGTGCAAATGGTATGTAATTTATTACCTCCATGCCTTCCATTTGCATTGTTTCCTTTGCAATGAAATTAATGGTGTAGAGTAACGTAATGATTACAAATGAATTATGTAAAATTTCACCATAGAGGGCACTGAAACGAATAGCATTGTTTTTGTCAGAAGCCAAACTGCAGTGGAATGGAAACAGCACTGCATAGGACAAGTACAAGGCGGAACAGAAATCAGTGCCTTCTTACATTCCTCACTGAACCAGCAGCTCAATGTTGCTTCAGCACTGGTTATGGGTCAGCATCCTCCGCCACACTTAAGCTAGCTTAGGGGGAGCAGGACATGCAGGGTGACACACACAGCTCTGTTCGCTAACACCTCATGGCTGCTCCTTGCCCTCCAGTGGGCTTGCCTCTGGGTAAATAGGCACAGCATTGTGCTGCATGTGTACAGAAAGGGCAATCTAGCTTACTTGACACTTCTCACAGCACAATCCTTCAGCACACTCTGATCCAGCTTTTAGTTTGCACGTGGCAGCATCGCAACAAGGGTTGGTACACTCCTGTTAAGAAAAAAGACTTCAGTTGGACACTTGAGTGCTAACTTGTCAAAAGCAACTTATGTTAGTTGCCCACTGAATTCCTCCTTAGACAGCCCCCTTCAACTGGGGGGCGCACATGTGTCTTCTGTTCTTTTTAGAGGCTTTGATTGGAGGGCTGCAATTCTAACCCCCCATTTTCCAGGTAGAAAGCCCCATTAATTCACTAGGACTTACCTCTGAGTAGATCTGGTCAGAATCACGCTATGCGTGTTTTAGTTTATTGCTTGGGAGGGTGGGCAGAGAAGAGAATTTGGGTGGGCATTTCGCCACACCAGTTTCCATTGCAGTGAACCAGTGCTCTGTAGGAATCTTTTATCTTTGCTCCAGGGGCTTAGAAAGGGAACCAGGGGTGTGTGGATGTGAAGAGAGGGTGGTTTTTACTTGTACAGCTCTCTTTGTCTCATGGCGCCTCTACCCCTTACACAGAACAAGGCAGAAGATGACCGAGGCACTGAAATTAAGAACTGTGACACTAAAGATTTCCGGGGTGGAGGATGCATGCCATAATTTGGATGCTAACTAAAGCTGTGTGCATCGAGTAAAGTAGCTCAGTAGGTGGAGGGGAAAAACCTGTTGCCCTGCTGTAGGTAAAGGTAAAGGTACCCCTGCCCATACGGGCCAGTCTTGCCAGACTCTGGGGTTGTGCGCCCATCTCACTCAAGAGGCTGGGGGCCAGCGCTATCCGGAGACACTTCCGGGTCACGTGGCGAGCGTGACATCGCTGCTCTGGCGAGCCAGAGCTGCACACGGAAACACCGTTTACCTTCCCGCTAGAAAGCGGTCCCTATTTATCTACTTGCACCCGGGGGTGCTTTTGAACTGCTAGGTTGGCAGGCGCTGGGACCGAGCAACGGGAGCGCACCCCGCCGCGGGGATTCAAACCGCCGACCTTTCGATCGGCAAGCCCTAGGCGCTGAGGCTTTTACCCACAGCACCACCCACGTCCCTTGCCCTGCTGTACTAGTCAACTAATTGAAGGGACACAGTTTGACTTTTAAGAACATCCTGAGTGGAGTCTGTATAGCACAGTCCACATTTATTCAGGCTATTTACTGCCCGATGTGTGGAGCTGCTATTGATGTTGTGTCATCAGACACAGCAGGGCCAGCTTACTTCCAGCTGTGGTGACACAAATTGACATCTAAAGGGTGTTTGTTGAAAGTTGAGAACATTGCCACTAGCAATATATCACAGTTTCTATAGTCTACACATAGTAGGAGTATTTAAAATGAGAGTCATCATAGTGATTTGTAGTTAAAAGTGGAAGTTGGCAAATGTGTCCTCCTTTTTGCTCCTCAAAATATGGCAACCCTAATTTATCTCCATCTAGATAAGGGAGGTGTAGAAACCCTATTCCCTCCTGAAGAAGCGTTACACCTATTGTCTCACTGAAAACACATACATTCTTCAGCAACTCTTTATACATGGAAATGGTGCTTAAAGGACCAGCTATGGCCAGTCAACTATGAATAAATAAACTAGTCTGACAAATTTAGCAGTTTCTTCTACTACAAACTACAGTACTGATGATACAAGATTAAAGTCTCAGTTGGTACCTATGAGCATCATCTGCACCACCCCCACCCCATTCAGTGTTATAAATGGCAGTAAAACTTCCTGTTTCGTGATCCCTTCCTTCTTGATGTGATTAGTAAGTATTTACCTTTTGTTACACATGGATTCCTCCTTGTTCTCATAACCCTTTCCTCTATCCATGCCTAACAGAGCAGGTGTGAGGGAGAAAGGAGAAAGAAATGGTGCACATTGCCTAGAGCAGTGGTAACCTCCACATCTGTCAGGGTGGTCAAACAAGATACAAAACCTCCTCTTCCCCTGCCCTGTTCTTTGACTCAGTCTGGAGTAGCACTGGACAAAAATTTTCACTAACTCGCTGTTGCACTACACCAAACACAGGGTGGGGGTAGTGGGAGGAACAAATCAATGCACCAAATGCTATATCTAAATAATATTAATTCAAGAAACACCTACTTCTGGTGTGCCACAATCACATTCTTCATTTTTATCCACAATGTTGTTGCCACAGGCGGGCTCTGTATAAATATCACTTGGCTTGGGAGGATTTCGAAGACAGGTTCCTCGGCCTCTCAAGATGAGGTCCTCAAAATCATTGGCGCTGCAGCTGCTGAAGTTCTTGGACCCACTAGAAAGCACAAAATTGCTTGTGTTTTGCATATCTATTTGCATATCCAATCTACAGATTAAAAATAAATAATACAATTTTCTATAATAAAATAAATAAGAGCTCTTACTTATCTGAACCGTGCATAATGTATTGACCTGGACATCTTCCGTCATCATGATTCATTCCCAAATTGTGTCCTAGCTCATGTGCAACAACTGTAGCGTGAGCTATCACAGCGTCATGGTTAAACTGGCAAAGAGATCGACAGTGTTAGCATTATGTGAAGTGATAGAACCTCTGGAGCAACAGTTCCTCCTTGCCTATATGAACAGGGGGGGAACCATACACAGATACCTCATTTCTCTATTCTCTCTTCCCATGCTCTCCTTCTGACATTAAAATTTAGACTGCGAATTCCCTAGGGATCTATCTACTACCAGGAGCAACACTTCTGGTTAATCGAGAAAATCCCCTAGCTGGAAGTTAATTCAGGATCTTGGGAGAACATGGTTAATATCATAAATCATATCATATTTATTTACTTAAAAAGCATTTCTAAACTGCTTAATATTTCAAAGGCTTCCAAACAATGTATACTATTACATAGTAAATTTTGCATCCCATTACTGTTTTACAGATTAGCAGCCCATTTCCCCACAATCCAGCATAGTAAAGGCAGGAAAGTTCTCTTTTCTTCACTCCATTTGCTTAAATGGAACAAGGAAATATGAATACACATCTATGGTTGTATTCAGCCTAGCTCTATGGAGAATGTTCCATCTGTGCAAGGATTTCTCCTTGTGCAAGGGAATGTTTGCCCTGTCTCCTGCCCACTAAATCGGTTCTGGGGTTTTCTCCAACCCTCTGGAGCAGAAATGGTGGTATACAGAGGGAGACAGTGTGAAATCACCTTGTCTTAGTGCTAATGTCTAGTTAAATAACACCCATAGGCACAATCGTATGAGAGACTTACCATAGTAGTACAGGAAGAGCCAACTCAAGGTATACTGTTGTCTAGGCAAAAACTAATTATCTGCCCCCCTCCCTTACTGTATCCTGTTTCATGGAGGGGAGAGAGAGTGGTTGATTCTATTTAACACATCATGAATAGTTCAAATAGAGAATTATAAAAAGAATACTGTAGTAAACTTCTGCCCTATAATTATTACTCATATTATAGAAGTCCATGTTCTACAATCTTTTATCAACTCATAATTAACTGCATAGTGTTCTATAGTTAGGATTTGTCCAGCTCGTGTTGATCGGCCCTCAGTGATACCAGCAAGCATGGAATCTAGCATCTAGTACTTTCTGCAACACTCTTAGCTTCCATTTTTAACACTGTCATTTTTTTATTATTTTAAAGCACAGCTCTTAAGCATTGATTCTATAGACATTTATTGGAAGCAAGTCCCATTGAACTCAGTGGAGTTTGTTTCCAAGTAGAGATGTTGAGAACTGCACTGTGCAGTCCATGGAATATGCTTCAAAAAGTATAATCATGCCTTATAAAATCACAGAAACCTGTGGAAGAGGTTGGATTGATTTTAAAAATAAGAAAACATATACGGTTCTATTTAATTTTCATTTTTAATTGAAATAGAATTTGAGCTATCATAGTACAAAATTAGATTCTCCTTCCCATTGCACTGCAGATAGCTATACTAGAAATTATCATTATGATCCTTTTTAATGAGTGGTTATTTTGTTTTGCTGTTGACTGCAAGTCTAAACATATAATCAAGGCAAAAATTGACTGAAGCTCTGTCATAATCAAGAACTGGACTAAATGTATACAATGTAGATGTAGGTATGCCTTTGCTAGGACACTTTGCTAAGACATCTTGCTTTGTAGAGCCCTTCATTACATATTTGAAAAAACAATTTTTTTTTGTAAACCAGTTTGAGATTCTGTTACTGTCAAGCAGTATGTGTATGTATTTAAATCAAATAATTGATAAATATAACGAGCAAGCTCATGGCAAATCTTAAGGTCCTGTTGAATTGGCTGGATTTGGCACGGCAGGTGCAAGCATTTTCTACTTAATAGGCCAACATGTCCACAACTGAGAGAATATAGTGTACTTACTGTGCTGATTGACCCTCCGTGATTCGGACTACAGACTGTGCCAACAAAAGCCATTCCAACCGTTGCACCAAATGCACTTCTCCCTCTGCAATGCAGGAAAAGAATGAATGTAATGCGTTTCAAATATGTTCTGGGCTGTGTAGTGCGATCTGTGACATCTAATATGGAATCTAACAGAACATACAAGAATTTCAACTTTCACATCAGAAAAAAAACACATGCTGAGCCCTCCTGCTTGCAGGAATAAGGTCAAGACCTGTTTGTTAAAGTTCTTTCTGCTAAAACTCCAGGAACGTATAAAGCCCAGGTATGCGGAAGGGCTATGGTTCAGTGGCAAAGCACGAGAAAGGTCAAAGGTTCAAAGGTTTCCGGCATTTCCTTGCAGGGCTGGGAGAAACCCTGGAGAGCCACTGACCAATGGTCTGAGCAGCTTCCTAGATTCACATGTATTCTGTGGCTGGGTGATGGTGGGGCTGGGAGAAATGTTCTTCTCCTCACTTAACACAACTATCAAGCCAGTCACTTTTGTTCTCAGCCCTATCCCTCTCCACCTTGGATTAATCCATGAACCACAGCCTCTCTTTAAATAGCGGCCAGTTCCCAAGATAAAAAAAACAAGAACACACACAAGGCACTCAACCCACATCTTCTGCCAAATTCTCAGAACTTAAAATTGCACACTCTGAAGGGGAAAACCAACACATGTGACCGGACAAAGCATATGAAGCATGCAGGCTAAGTGCAGTTGACGACATTTTCCTAAACTGAGTTGTTCCCTTGGGCAGCAGAATCTCAAGAGTTCAGGGTCCCAGTCGGTAATCACAGACAGGTTTATGTAGAGAGGGGAAAACCTTACATGATGAGGTGGCTGACATCATTTCGTGATCTCTTCAGGAGATTTGTCTCCCTCCAGGATGCGAATTTGCCCAGCACATCTCCAGCTGAACCACTATCCACATCTATAGGGTTTCCTTGAGTCCATATTTCTAGCCCAATTAGGACAACTTGAATATTTAAAGGACTGAACATCTGCACATACAAAATTGTCATTATTAGGAAGATATAAGAATTTGATTAGGTATTGCTCCCCCAAATCCTTGGTGTTTGTCCACCTCTACCCCCAAAGGAAGGCCATGCTACAAGGAAGGTAGAGGAGCCACCTCTGCTTCACTGGCTCCCAGGAGTTATACATTCAACACAGTAAAGACAACACATTTTTTGATGAATTGTGCTCCCCATCATGCATACAGATGTACATCTAAAGCAAGCTCTGCATATGATTCACATCCCACAGTCACCCAACCTTTAAGCATTTCACCAAAGGCCATGGCTCCCAATGAGAATTGGATCTGTGTTGGGGAACAGGACTCTTCAGGAGTGTAATGGAATTTAGTGTAACAAGCACACATTCACAAATGACCTAAATTACTGTGACTGCCAAAACTGGCTTCATGGGCTCTTAAAAACCACACCAGGTTGCTGGGTGGTGGTGCTAATATTTCTAAGTCACAAGGAGCCTATGAGCAACTGTGGGGTTTGAGCTATTAAAAAAATCCACAACATACTCAATGCAAAGGGACAGGAGTAGCAATTGACACTGCTGAAACAGTAGTGAAACATGGCTCCGCAATGCCTTTCAAGATGTAGGGAGCTGTGGTGGTGGGAGGTTACTGGGCAGTCCTGTCTACCTAGAGTTAACAAGGCATTAAGCCAGTTGGCAGAGCTCTCCACCTGATATAATTCCATTTTACACTGCTATGGTGTACCGTAAGTAAAAAGGTAAAGGTACCCCTGACCGTTAGGTCCAGTCGTGGACGACTCTGGGATTGTGGCGCTCATAATGCTGTCTAATTTTTTTTAAGAACACCAAATAAGTGGGCTCTGGCAGCATTTTTATCACTAGTTATATCCCTAATTTCAAGAGTAATTTTACTATTAGGCAGGGCTGGCTAAAGCATATCCGGCGTCGTGGTGCAAAGCTGCCTCCGGTGCGCCCCCATTTCCCAGAGTTTTTTAGAGAGGACGGTGCTGCCGGAGGGGCTGGAGGAGGCAGGCAGTGGCTGGAGGGCAGCTCCTCTGGTGGGGAAGAGGCGGAGGCTGGATGGGGTGCCTCCCAGCTCAGCTGGCCACTTTGTGCCGTGGTGGCCATGGCAGACAGAGGCTCCAGGCACAGCGCTGCTTCGGCGCAGCATGGCGGAGGCGGGCGAGGGCGGCGAGCTGATGCCGGGAGGTGCTGCGTCCAGCCTCCACCTCTCCCCTGGCGCCCGCCAGAACTTGACGCCTTGGCACCCCGTGCCACTAGCCTCTATGGGTAAGACGCCCTTGCTGTTAGGTAAATCTGTGGTGCTTTTGTGTTGCTGGAGAAAGACACACACACAGAGAGAGAGAGAGAGAGCGCAAGAAAGGACACAAGCTGCAAATCTCTGGCAAACTTAGGTAGCCTTCAGGAGCACAGTGGGACCAATTTCAGAGTAAAGTTGCTTAAGATCAGCTGCTCTTAAGCCTGCTTCTATGTACAAACAACACTCAGGAAGATAATGAGAAAAGCTCTCCATTAGCCCCAGGCCATGGGAGCATAGCTGTTTATCTCTATCAGCACTATTGAAAATCTGTCTTCACATTAGATGCCCTGTGAAGCATTTTCCAATCTTAAAGCTCTCTCTCTCTTAAATTAGGAGGGCACACAAACCAACACACTGTTGACTGCAAGGAAGTAATAATGAAATCCTTGGTTTTTAAGTTTAACAGTGGGGTTACAGATACTTGGCCACTATCAGGACTGATAACTCTTCAAATGGGAACTTTGTGATTTCCTGAATGAGTCCCTGTTCTTCAAAAGCTCCCCTGGTTTGCCAAGTGAGTGTTCCAGTTTTCGAATGTTCTTTTGGAAGCCAAACACCCGATGGGGCTTCCGATTGGCTGCAGGAGTTTCCTGCATCTAATCAGAAGCTGCACTTTGGAAGTCGAATGTTTTGGAAGTCGAAAGGACTTCTGGAACGGATTCTGTTCGACTTCCGAGGTACGACTGTACATAATTTTTTAATTGGAGGTCACCAGAATAATATAATCCAGTTTCTGAAGAAAATATTACTGTAGTGTTTTGACATTTTCTGCAAAATAGTGTGATAAAGCACAGTCTAATGAATGTCTCTGTGATGACTTACCCCATCAACATAATTAACCAGTTCTACTGTTTCCTTTTGTACAGCTTCAGCATCAGATTTCTTCCGCAAGTACTGAAACAATTCAAAATATAAGATGTTCTAGAGCAGGAAATTCAAATACTTTGGCAAAATGCATTGGGTTGAGAGAGAAATTACCCTGTTTTTATCAACAACCATATACAGTTCGACATATCTTTTCTCTGGCAGAACAGCTCGCCTTCTCTGTAACAAGGAAAACAGACCACATGACATTACATATATTTCCACACTGCATTTTTTTTTAAATTTTGAAGTACTTTAAATAGATAAGCTAACTATAAAAAGTAAATAAAATGTTTTAGTAGGTGCCAGGCATTCAAGGAAAAGACCAATTCATTGGCTGAACTGGCATTCTACAAATTTTCTAATGCACCATTGTAAGTTGGGAGGGGAGTCAGTCTAGATTATGTCCTTGGATCTCATCCTGTGATCTTGTATCCAGTAAGGGTTAGAATCTGGTAGAAGAGGTTGTGGAACCTGCCAAACCAGTTCCTTTGCTAAGGTAATGGCTTTGGCTGGCCAATTAAGTGCCCTAAAATCAGCATCTCAAAGAATAAGCAAGGCTGCAATAGCTACAACTAAGAGATGCTGGTCATTTTCCCCACTCATCTAGCTGGCTGCCACATGATACTAGGTATAAGAACTATAGCAGGGATCAGCAAACTTTTTCAGCAGGGGGCCAGTCCACTGTCCCTCAGACCTTGTGTGGGGCCAGACTATATTTTGGAAAAAAGATGAACAAATTCCTATGCCCCACAAATAACCCAGAGATGCGTTTTAAATAAAAGCACACATTCTACTCATGTAAAAACATGCTGATTCCTGAACCGTCCATGGGCCAGATTTAGAAGGCGATTGGGCTGGATCCGACCCCCGGGCCTTAGTTTGCCTACCCATGAACTATAGTCTAAGTAGACTGTGTGAGCAAGAGAAACATGCCTTGCTCTGTGCTGAGCCTAAACTGGACTTAGGGGTTCACTGGAAACCAATGGGGAAGAAAGATCTATTGGAGTGCAGTGCTGTAAGCCCTTCCATCCCATGCGCTCTCTCTCTCTCTCTCTCTCTCTCTCTCTGTGTGTGTGTGTGTGTTGTTTAACACCATGTATCTTAACAACACCACAATAATTTGACTCACCTGGGGTAAGGAGCAAGCAGAAAGGTGTAATGCAAATTATCTGAGTTAAACTGAAATTAACTCAGTATGAAAATATCCGTTTCTATTTAACCCTTGCCCCTTTTTCATGGGAATATTTTAACTATGGAAATAAAGTATCACAGAGAGACTTGTTGGAAATAAACCACCAGTGTCAGTTAAAAACCAGGATTGTTGCTAAAAGCTGGAATAAAGAGTTTAGACAAGGTGGACTATTTTGGAAAAACAATGTACGAATGCTTTTTACCCTTAGAATTTTGTCCGACTTGAAGGGACTGTGTGAGATATTTGTGTATTTGAGAAAAGTCTTTGTGCTCTGCTCGTGGTCATCATTTGGCACACCACATGAAAAGGGCTCATGGGGAGAGTTTTCTAATGCATAGAAGAAGTGCTCAAATCGATCTGATCCATTGACTGGTTCCAAGCCATATCGCTTGCTGCCAATATGGAGCATTCCCCTGAAACCACAGAAAGCAAGAAAAAGTTACCTGGCCGTGTCCTGCTCACCCAAATCCACATCGATAACAGTTCAGCCTAAGTTAACTACTGCTAAACCATTCGTAGCAATAGCATTTATTACAACAATATATAAAACGTGTTAAGTTTCTCGAAAGGCTAGTGAAGTTAACTGTCTAGGCTGCCTACACTGTAACCCATTAGTAGCACAAAAGTGTACTTTCCCCCCATTAAACCAGGAACATTGATGCTCATATTCAACAGGCTGCATTCAATCTAGACTGATTCTAGATCCTGACATCTACAAGAATGGGGGGGGGGGTGTTTCCTTGATGCACATTTGAAAACCATGATCAGGATGTCCGTGCCTTTTCCTCCCTGCACAGGCCCCATGGGAATGAATGAATCACCCTGCTGGGATAGATCAGTCGGTAGAGCATGAGACTCTTAATCTCAGTGTTGGGGGTTCAAGCCCCACATTTTGCATTGCAGGGAGTTGGACTAGATGTCCCTTGTGATTCCTTCCAACTCTGCAATTCTATGATTCTATAAGAAGGTTGACTGTGATCTTGGTACACACCCTGTTATAAGAATTATAATATATATAAACATTTATACAGTTATGAACATTTATATAAAATAAATGTTCATAACTGTATATATAAACCACGTGTCTGAAACTCCATAGAAAAGGTCCTGAACAAATTGACCTCAAATATTTCTCTGCAAGGTCAAAGTGGGAAACCTCCCCATTGTCTCTTTCCTCACAAATCCTGTCCTCACAAATCCTGTCTTAAGGCACATTGAAGATATGAACAGGGTGTGAGCCTGTGACCTGTGACCTAGATTCAGGAATTAAGTAGTTCTAATAACAAAAGTGTGGCCAAAACCCAGATACCTGCAATCAGGTAACTTGCCAGACAGGAGATAAACAACACACTCAGATTTCTGTTGTGGACCACCTTTTCTATGATGTAGGTATGATGTATCTGAAGGGTGATCTTGGGCTACACCCCTTCTGTGATGTATGTATGATGTTTCTGGGGGTGGTCTTGGACTCCAGGGTGGGCAATTTAAAATGTCTATATAAGGGCGGGCACACCTTTGTTCTGGGTCCTCCTCCTCTCTCCTGTGTGTGAGGGAGCACCCCTTGCAACAGTTAATAAAGATCAGGCTTACTAACTGCTTTGCTTCTCAATATTCTCTGGTTGGTCTCTGTTATTTTCTCCTACTGATAGAGAACCCACAAAAGGACTCTATATGGGCTCTTGGGTACCCCATAAGGGGAAAGGAGCAGTTGTTTTCTTATATCAATCAACCCAACATTGGGCAGGTGGGGTTACACCCCTGCACTGCAAGGACCACTTCCATTTGTTTTCAAACAGCTGTACTGTGGGCCAATGGAGAATCAATTTGCAATAAGCTTCCCCACCCTCCCAGAATGAAACTGATTTCTCAAGAAGTGCTTTTCAGGGGCAAGAAATAGGCAATAGATCTAGATTGTGTGTGTAATATGTAGCAAAAGCAAGCGCTCAGACTCCCATTGATTGTAAAATAAAATGTCAAACAAATTAAAATGTATTTGCCTCAAAATGAAGTTAGAATGAAAAGGTAGTACCTAAGACCATCACAGGTACTGAGAGCAAGCAGAGAGTCCTCAATCCCTTCAACAACTCCACGGTAATAACAGTGGGCCTGAAACCAAACAATTAATAGTGTTTTTCTTATGCAAACAACAGACGCAACCTGTAATTTGGTGTACACAACTATGCTATGTTTACTCAAATTGGCACATACACACACACTATGTAGTTTTCTGGATTCTGATGCAACTTATTTCCAAGTCCTGTTTCTCACTCACCATCCTGTGATAAGGATTTAAGGAGAGAGAGGAAGGGAGGTTAAGGCCACCTCAGAGCCGCCTCCGGTTGGGGTTTCCCCTCCCCACCATAGGCCCTTTCTACTGCCAATCAATTCCCCTGTGGGAAGGATGCAAACGACTTTTTACATGCTGACATTATTTATTGTGTGCTTTTTAAATGTAGCTTAAAATTTATTGTAAGCTGCCTTAGAAAGATTTTTATCCCGTTTATACGGTTTGCTTTACAGGTTTTAGGTTGTGCTTTTGTTCTGTTTTGAATGGATATCATTGACCATTATTCCAAACAGTGTCATGAAGCACTCACCTGAGGGGACTTTGGTTACAGAGGTTCTCTGCCTTGGAGGACAAGTGGTGTATAGGGGCTGGTGTCAGCTATTTACCTCTGTGGAAAAGCCCAGAGGAAAAATTCATAGTTGGAAGATGCAAAGACCTGAGTCAATGAGGCGGTTGAATTCCTGCAGGTGAGTGCGTTGTGACCCTGCCTTCTGCATTAAATGCAGCCAACACAATTTTGATGTTGTTTGGATGCCTGATTATCGTCTTCCAAAGCAACTACTCTATTCCCAACTTAAGAAAGGAAAGTGAAATGCCACTGGACAACAAAAGAGGTTTAAAGAAGCTCTCAAGGCAAATCTTTTAAAAATGCAGTACAGTGGTACCTCTGGATGCGAACGGGATCCATTCCGGAGCCTCGTTCGCATCCTAAAGCGAATGCAACCCGCGTCCGCAGGTTGCGATTCGCCACTTCCGCACATGCGCGTGACATCATTTTGAGCGTCTGTGCATGCGTGAGTGGCGAAACCTGGAAGTAACGCGCTCAGTTACTTCCAGGTTGCCGCAGAGCGCAACCCAAAAATATTCATCCCGAAGCTACTTCAACCCGAGGTATGACTGTATAAGCATGGATAATTTAGTAATACTGGCCTGCGACTGCTCCAATTGGAGAATAGCCTCTACCAAAGACGTCATCTGAAGGCAGCCCTGTTTAGGGAAGTTTTTAATGACTGATGTTTCAATGTATTTTTAATCTTTTGTTGGAAGCCACCCAGAGTGGCTGGGGAAACCCAGTCAGATGGACGGGGTTTGAATAATAAATTATTATTATTATTATTATTATTATTATTATTAACTCTGAAGAAGCACAAACTCAGGGTGAAAGGGAGAAACATGCTAAGAGGAAGGCATGTTTGGCAAATCCTCACTGTGATCAACTCCCGCCCAGAAACCTATGTCCCACTGTGGAAGGACGTGTGGATCCAGAATTGGCCTCCACAGTCACAGACAAACTGTTAAGACCATATTCATGGAAGACAATCTTACTTGACTACGAGTGATTGCCAAATAAAGAAGAAGAAAAATTGGTCCACACCATAGCAAGGACTGTGTTTAGGAGATCACAGTGTAAGGGCAGGTCTATAACCTCCCACTCCCCTTTGGAAGTGAGTTGATCCAATCTTCCTCTATTCTCTCTTATTCTGGCAGGTAATATTACAGTTTGTAAGCCATGTTTTCCCAACCTGGTGCCCTGCAGCCTGCCAGCCTCAAAACAACAATAACATCTGGAGAGTATCAGGTTGAGGAAGGCTGTTCCAGGTACATGAGGCATTTTTGACCAACCATCTTATAGCAGTTTAGAGCAATTTAAACCAAATTCAAGAGAACCAGTGTGGTGTAGTGGTTAAGAGCGGTAGACTTGTAATCTGGTGAACCAGGTTCACGTCCCCACTCCTCCACATGCAGCTACTGGGTGACCTTGGGCCAGTCACACTTCTCTGAAGTCTCTCAGCCTCACTCACCTCACAGAGTGTTTGTTGTGGGGAAGGAAGGGAAAGGAGAATGTTAGCCACTTTGAGACTCCTTAGGGTAGTGATAAAGGGAGATATCAAATCCAAACTACTACTCCTCCTCCTCCTCCTCCTCTTCTTCTTCTTCTTTTTCTTCTTCTTCTTCTCCTTCTCCTTCTTCTTCTTCTTCTTCAACAAAGGGCTCATCCAGACTGGCTCTTGACCAATGCCTAGAAAGCATAGTCCAAGCAGTTTTCTGCTTCTGCATTTTCTAGGCACGGGTCTAAGCAGATTTGCCCTTGCTCCACTGCTTTCCACCAGAAAACCTGCTCTTTAGTAATAAATCAGAGCAATTGCCAATCTGGAGAAAAGCTGATTGATGGTTGCTGTGATTCAGCGGTAAAGATCAGGTTTTCCGGGGGGCAGGGGGCAGCGAGGCAAGGGCAAGTCTCAATGAGCCCTAGGTTTTTACTCTGCATGGACTTTTGAAATTACTAGACATGACTAAGTTACATCCATTTATGTCAGCAGGCCAATTCTGAGTAAGATATAGTTGAGTTGTCTTTCTCCCACACACATACCTTAATCTTTTTGTTTAGCTATAAAAATACCTTTCTTGAGGTGGCCAAGAAAGATAAAGGTATCAGGCATGTGAGACAACTCCCTGGGGCACTGTAGCTGCTTCAGATGGGATTACATCACGTGCATCCTCATTGAAAGCAGTCAGTTATTAATCTATAGCAGCCTAGTGAATCAGTTGTTGCTAAAAGGGGTCTCTCCATTAGGGAGGGGGTCTTCCACCGTCACTGTACCTTCGCTTCGAAGGGAGTAGTCTCCAATTTGCCATCTTTTCTGTAGGTATATAGTATGAAATTCTCATCTATAAGGTTTCTGAAAGCATAAAAATATATTGCATGTGATTTTATGTTGGATTTCTTTTCCTTACTGCATTATCTGCAGATCAGGAAAATCTGGATTTAATGTGGGGTAGTACAGGCTGCCCCTTGGATGAGGATAACATCATGTGGACAAGAAGAAAAACATGTGAGCTTGGGTTTTTAACCGCTTTGAGGTTTTATTACAATCAAGTGGTGCATAAATGTAGTGAAATAAATAAAATAAATAAATGCATTGAATCAATTTTAAACTGGCGCGTTTACACAGTCCACTTTGGCCTCTATTAGTATTGACTGGTGATAATTTTAAGGTTTTCCAGGAGCGGCGCCTTTCTGATACTGAAGACCTGGTTCATAAGATTGCCGTGCTTATTTGATCCGCTAACTCTTTGTTGTGTTGCCATTCTAGCCTGTTGATATGTTGCAGTTACCTGCTCCAGAGTAACAACACATTTATCAGGATGTGGATTGGCAAGAACCTCATCTACCCGGGCGTTTGACACTTGAGATGAATAATTTTAGGACTCACTTTATTTCTGCGGTTCTGAATTGTTCTGAACTGTTTTTAACATTGTGTTTTAATTGTTGTAACCCACCCTGGGACCTTAGAGTAAAGGGAGAGTAAATACTGATACTTATAATAAATATATTTTTTTAAAAAATTATTGTTTTGCTTAGATCTCTTTCTTAGAGATCCTGAAATGATCCCAACAATTTCCCCATGTCACTCTTTATGACACATAGCCTAATGGAGAGGGTATGTAGTTTAGGTGTATTCCTAGATTCCTTTGCTATGACTTGAGGCTCAGGTTGCCAATTCAGCTGGATTCAAATGAAGTTCAGTCACAACATGCCCTTCACTGCTCCCATCCCAAAATTTCTCTGTTGCATCCCAAGGTAAAGGTAGAGGGACCCCTGACCATTAAGTCCAGTCGTAGACAACTCTGGGGTTGCGGCGCTCATCTCACTTTACTGGCTAAGGGAGCTGGCGTTTGTCTGCAGACAGCTTCCGGGTCATGTGGCCAGCATGACTAAGCTGCTTCTGGCGAACCAGAGCAGCGCACGGAAATGCCGTTTACCTTCCCACCAGAGCGGTACCTATTTATCTACTTGCACTTTGAAGTGCTTTCGAACGGCTAGGCTGGCAGGAGCAGGGACCGAGCAACGAGAGCTCACCCCATCACAGAGATTCGAACCGCTGACCTTCTGATTGGCAAGCCCTAGGCTCTGTGGTTTAGGCCACAGTGCCACACGCATCCCAAGATAGCTTGTGTTAAAAAATTAGGCCAGGATCTAGAGACACCTGTTCCCATGCCATGCACCCAAAGAAAGCGAAATTTCTCCCTTTCTGGTACAGCCTCTCATTCCTCATAGGATGCTATGAGGCCACTGGAGAGGCACATCTAGGGCACTGAAGGCTGTTTCTGGAAGGAGGAAGCTGAAAAGTCTGCTTGCATGCACAGAGAGCACCGTACTACATGGATCCTGCTGCATGGGTCCATATTGGGTCTGACAGCTAAGTTCACCACAGATGGATTGTTTAATATTTTCCAAAAGAAAAGTATATATTAAGTATACAAATTAAAGAGCCATGTGCAAATATAAAAAAAAATTCTCAGCTGCTACACCTTGCCTCTCATTCCTGATAATTTGTACACAAACACACATTTTAATACAAGCCATTAAAACAAAAAAATCCCTTCCCTTGTAGTCTGCCATTCAACAGTACTCGTCCCAATGAGATTTCATTGCAAATATTAAATCAACTAAAATAAAACACAAAAAGGCCTTAGAACGGTATACGTAAAACATACTTATTTTTCTTTAATCTCAGGATATGTGTTCCGTTTCCAGTTTGGATCAAGTAAGACAGCTGATGATCTAAATACTCCTGAAAAATAAATCATATGCAAAACATAATATGCAGTCTTCATAAAACCAGCAGTGCCTCTTATCAAAAACAAGTTGCTACAGCTTTGCTCAGTTTTCTAAACAGGCAACAAATCTGCAGAATTCAGTCTAGCAGGTCATTGCACACTCTAGCATTAATTCCTACCAATTAGTTCTTTATATTTACCCATTATAATAGATCGTCTGCATTTATTTATTTTTAAAGGGGGGGTTACACCAGCTGCAGCTGGTGCACAATGTGGCTTCTACTGCTGACACAGCTACAGTAACAGCCTATTCGAAGAGCACAGAACAAGCACATTCAACACTGTGTGCTGCCTGTCAGCTAAAATTATAGACGTAGCTTGCTTTGTAAACCTACCAGGATACAGCTCAGCCTTCAGGAATTTCTCCCCACTCCTTCGGGCCACTGATCATGACCAGAGCACTGCTTTTGGCAAAAGGCATGGTTGCCTTATTAATACATGTTGGAGTGCTTCTCAGTATCCAACAAAACAGAAACATGGGAAGCTGCCTTATCCCAAGTTAGACCATTGACTCATCTCCCTCAATATTGTTGATAGTGACTGTCAATGGCCCTCCAGGCTTTCAATCAGGAGTCTTTCCCCGGGGATTGAACCTGGGATCTTCTGCAAGCAAAGCATTTGTATTTGTATGTGTTCTACCACTGAACTATGATCCCTCCCTGGATCCATTCACAGGGGGGAATTGTATTATGCTGGCACAGCTCTCCTTTCACCTGATCCTTTGCTCTGCGAATGTGGTGGGACATAGATTGGGACCAGAAGTCAAACATGCTTATCTTGTTTATAAACATTATCAAATAACCTCCTTGCAAACAAATCTGAAGGAAGGCTCAATAAACACCAGACATCTATAACCTTCTCCCAAACTTTGTGCAAACAAATCATGAGGAATGCTCAGGAAACCAGCCATTTGGAAGCAAACTCAGTTCCAAGATGGAGACCGCAACCGGGGCTGAATAAGGCTGTGTACGTACTCCCGTTTTCTCTGCATTCAGTGCAGTTGTCTGAGAAGCAGTGTACATATGACTTTAGCCACAATTCATCTATCCTGTATTTTTAAAATGAAATACTGTGTTTTGATGCTTTGATCTGAAGAAGAATAACATAGCTGGGTTTTAAGCATGTAATGTGTACACAACCCTAGACCCTACTAGGTGCTACAGATATCAGGTGATACACCTAGGATTCTGGGATAATGAAGAAATTAAGATAGGACTGGTAATCCAGTTCCAGCCCTTTCCTGGAGGGCCTTATTCAACCTGCTGTCTCCATTTGGGGGCTGAGTCTAGAAGAAGACAACATCTAGCCTAATTTTTGTACTTTTTGAATACTTCCTTGTCCCATCACCCCCTGCTTTGTCTAACTTCTAGTTTGATAAAGAGTTCCAGATAAATAACTCAAAAAAGTGGTACAACCCTGTGAAGTTTAGGTTGGTCCTAATAATGGTATTGCACAGCTATGGATTTTTTCTTATGGACAAACATGGCTGCTTTTGCTTTTTATTTGCTTTGGATAAGTAGGACACCATATGAAGAACACTAAAGGGGGACAAAAATTGAAGGAAAAACAAACCTTATGAGAATGCGTCCAGCGCTTCACCCTGTCAGTCAATCTTTGAGGAATTACAATCTCATATGTGGAATGCCTGGAGATCTGATGAGCATACCCTCCTAAAAATCAGGTTACAGTTTTTCAGTTTGTGTGGAGAGACCAGCCTGATAATGTCACAAGAAGATTTATTTTATAATGCCCGAAAGGATCTGGGCTCATCCTTTAAAAGATTATAGAAAACAAGGTTGGGACCCACAAAACCTTAGCATACTTACAAGGTCAGCAGATTTTCTTCAAGCTTGGCTCTGCCAAGTCCAATAAATCTTCTTATCTCTCGTTAATTTTAGACAATTTCTAGCCTTTATGGTTTATGCAGGATCCACACAAAAATTAAATGTTAAAAACAAATTCCTCAAAGCCTGCAAAAGGCTTTGTGCAAGATCCAAAGTAGCAGAAGCAGGAGTCCACTAGCGCAATGGTGCTTCTCCACCCTCCCCTCCTCTCTACAGCCCTCAGCCTATGTGCCCTCAAAATCTGCTGCAGAGGGATGGGGCACCCTCCAGAACAGACTGAGGGGGGCACAGGAGAGAAACTGGGAGTCTTGTTGCACGAGTGGAGTTTGTTTTCCACAAGCGAGCAGACATAATTGGATTTAATCCTATAGTCTAAAGAAGGTTTACAATAAAAAAAAATGGAATGAAAAGATCAAGTGAGCAAACAGTTGGCAATATGCCATTGGTCAAAAAAAATTTATGACCATCTGAAAACAAAGAAGACACTTGTTGAACAGGTTATCCAGAGACTGCCCAATACTAGATTCCATGGAACTGAGAGTTCTCTCAACAATTTTCCCCCCTGACATCCTTAAAATGCCTTTGTGCAAAAATGGGGTGATAAATAGGTTAAATTATAGATAACCATACCTATATTTTATCAACATTCTCAGGCACCCCTTACTTGCTTTGTCTATTATTACAAACAGGGTGAGCCCAAGATGTTTTGCTGTCTAAGAAATATGGATATGTTTGTCCCCACCCCCCATGAGCAGAAGCTGCCCAGACTGGTAGCTGTATCTTACTTCAAAACTGTTGATGGGATTGTGTCTTCTACAGCACCTGAGGGCTCCTAATTTGCTTGGGAAGTGCTGGGTAGTCTGTTTGGCCAGGCCCGTGTGGTGGTGGGCAGCCAGGTGCTTTGAGCCTTGGAGGGCTAAGCCAGACAGGAGACTTTGCCAGGGGCCTGACGGTCTTATGCTGTCATGCCAAGAACACCCTGTGCCTTTCATCTACCCTGGGCTTCAGACAACCTTTGCACAGGCCTGTGCGAGGCACGCATGGCTCAGCCTTCCACTTCAGCTGCCTGAAGCAGCTACCTCTTTATACCTAATGATAGGGCCGATTCTTGGTAAAAAATATCTTTATACTCTGGATCAGCTCCCTACGGTAGTTTATTGTTGTACTTTGTTTTTAAATTTATTATTGTACATTGTTTTAACTGTTTGTTTTCCTTCTGTGACTGTACCTCCAAGTGTGTTTTATAAGCTGGTCTCCGACTGTAATAAATTATCTATCTATCTTTATGCAAAACAGTACAGTGGTACCTCGGGTTAAGAACTTAATTCGTTCTGGAGGTCCATTCTTAACCTGAAACTGTTCTTAACCTGAAGCACCACTTTAGCCAATGGGGCCTCTCGCTGCTGCTGCCGCGCCGCTGCTGCGCGATTTCTGTTCTCATCCTGAAGCAAAGTTCTTAACCTGAAGTACTATTTCTGGGTTAGCGGAGTCTGTAACCTGAAGCGTCTGTAACCTGAGGTACCACTGTACATACCTTTAAACTACCTCAGTGATACAAAATTAACTGGTTCACATATTATGTTGGTCACTGGATGAACTATCGGCACAAGTTGGAAGGGACCACAAGGGTCATCTAGTTCAACGCCCCTGCAATGCAGGACTCTTTTGGCCCAACATGGGGCTCAAACCCACAACCCTGAGATTAAGAGTCTCAGGCTCTACCCACTGGGCTACCTAAGCAACTATAAATCAAATGTATGAATTGCAGGCCTGACTCACTGGTGTCTGTTCTTACTTAAATATCAGGCAAACTTGCTTGGAAGAATTCTGTCCCTCTATGGTGCTGTATAAAGCCTGTTAATCAGTGTTTAAAGAAAGGTTCTCACTGAGTAAACAGGTTTTTTTAAAACAAACCAAGCCTCACATCTTCTAGAAATGGTCTTTGAAATATGAAAGAGTGTCCTTCCCTAAATACCCCATATCTGACACAAAACTTGTCTTCGTTACCTGTAATTCTGCTCACGAAAGGAATCTCCCTCCCCACTATGCACCAGCTTCCTTTTGCACACAGAAATGCACCAAGTTCATTTAAAAACAAACAAACATGCTACTAATTAACAGCTGAATGCTAATATAGCAAAAACAGTTTTTAAAGAACACAGGCTACTTTAATTTATGCACACACACCCTCTTCTGCATAATGATTTTTCAAGAGATCCTCATGTCAGTTTGAACCATTTCCAAAACGCCACATTATTTAAAGATAAGTCCTTCATCATGTGATCTTTCATACCTATCTTATATTACAGCAGCACACCATCCATTCCTATTCCAAATACCACCCCCCAATTTCTTTTTTGAACAATGGGATGTCAACTATTTGATGCAACTTTGTATACCCCTTGCTTCTTCAACATTGTTAATAATTTGACCGCACTTAATTTCCACAATTTCCTAACCAGCTCTGGTTTATTTGGGCTATATTTTACTTCACTTTCCATGTTTTGGCATAAAGATTTCTAGGTTGGTATATATAAAACCTGCATTTGGATTTAAACTTACAATTCAATACAAATTACCAAAAATTGATCAGGACCAATACTCTCTTCCATCCTAGGAATCAGCATCCACACTGTTTGGTAAAGATTGAAGAGGGCGGGAAATGTAAACTTTTGCCACATAGTTATATAAATAAGGAGCTTAAACCAATGAATATTTTGCCCAATATGCACCTTTTAGGCTATGACTGCTTCCATTCCAGGAACTGCATCAAGAGATTCTAGCTGCCTGATTCACAACTTCTTCTGAGAGAAAGGAAGCATTCTTAAAACCCTGATCTGAAGTGGACTTTTTGTTTTTGAAGCACGTAATAAACGTTTGTCCTTATACGAGTGCTAAAGATCACAGCCTAAACCAACCTCCAAGTACTCTGGTTTAACTGATTTGGGCATCATGCTGCCAATGTAAACTTCTAATTGCTTTTAAAACAGACAGAAAACAAAGCAGAACTTACCCATTGTTAGCACTGGTTTTCCAATGCTGGTTAGTCCTAGCATGATTAAATAATACAGGCAACATTCTGACATGGTTTCTTCCTCTGGCTTCGCTGGCTAAGGTGCTCCAGCCTGGAATGCCCCAGCAATTTCACCTAATGGCCATAAAGCAACAGAACTGAATCTCAGGACGGCAGGCGACTGACATAGTAACACAAGAATTCAGATAACACTTCCAAGGAAAGGGGAAGTGACTCTCTGAGCCAACACTGCAGAAAACTGGTTTGTCAACTTACCATTTACAGGCAGTGTAACTGGAGAACTGCACCCTGTCCACTTCACAGTAAAGATGACAAAACTAGATTCCTCTAAAACTATTTTACAAAGCCCTAGGGCTTTTTTTCACAACTGAAGTGAAAAACATCCGCCTTTTAGCCTGGAACATGCCACTTGTGACTGCAGCAAATATAGGATAGCGAGCGGAAAAGAGCCATTAAGACATCCTAGACAGTGTATTATTTCAGAACTATAGCGCAGACACTGGTGGGTGGGGTGGAGATGTTGAAACAAAAGACCAAAAATCCACGTCCAGCCGATTTAGTTTTATTATGAGATGAGTAAATAAAGTATGACAGCAATGCTGTTGCTAAAGTTGCAGCCGTGTACTCAGCTGACCAGGAACTGCACCAGAATGATTTCATTTGCAAGTGGGTCCCCACCCAGCCTTAAAAATATATTAAAATTCCTTTCAAAAGCAACTCTGAAGATGGAAAGTGATGTACCTACAATGTAGTATACTTGGCAGTGATGAACTGAGTTTTTTTAATCAACACATTTGTATGTTTTGTGTTTGTGTATAATTCCCAACCTGGCGCAGTGATGTGTCACCAGAGAAACAGGTCCCACAGAGCAGCCTAGTAGTCCCTGCCTTGAAGAATGGGGGGGGGGGCAGTCAGATTGAGGGACAATCACTAAGATCCCCCCACCCCGAAACAATGGTGGTCAATCCATGGCCCTAGGCTACATTTTACATAGACTTTTTCTTAATTCAAAAGCCCTCTGCAACTTCAGACCTCTGACATGAGCAATCTCTCCTGGTAAGTCCACTATGCAAGGAAGAAGAGATAAAGAGATGTCAGAGAAATAAAGAAAAAGAGATTTACAGGGGGGGGAAGTAAAAAGGAGTAACAGAGAAATGCTTTCAGATGCAGTGGCGGCTGACAGATTTCCTCTGAAGTAACGCAACCCTCTACAGGGGAAAAAAGGCTTGTCCACATTTGAACATTATTTAGCTCTTAATTCACCTTCCTCCCATTCAAATTAGACCAAAGCAGTCCACATCCACACGTATTTGACTTTGTATATGAGCAACTTAAGTCTTTCTTGTTCATACCAGTAGGCGTTGCCTTTTGAGTATGTCCCCACTGTCTAATTTGATGATTCTCTATTGCTGATTAAGTACAGTACTGACAGGGAATCCATCAGATAGGTGTGTGCACACATTGGGTTTTCTTTTTCTTTTTTATCGTTGCCCAAGAAGGGTGCAGAGACACACAACTGTAAATGCACTTTCTTACCAAAAAAGGATCCACCTGAGGCATTAGGACTGTGGCAACTGTACAGAGAAATCCATTAAAAGATCCCAGCAAGGAACCTCTCCCTTGACATAACCCTATTTCAGGCTGAAGGGAGTGGAGCAAGGATCATATGGCTCCCCTACTTCTCTCATCTCCTGCAGCTAGACTTTTGCCATCACTTCCTGGGCCCCCAGAACTCCCACAACAGCAACATGCTGGGCAGCCAAGCTACCCACCGCAGTGGACACTTCTGAATTCTAATCCCAAGCATCTTTCTTTTCTTGGCGAAGTCTAGAAAGCCATCAAATCAGACTAAAAAGTGAACGGTGAGAGCTCCCACACAATAGGCACAGTTATAGGAAGGTGGACCATAGAGTTTGCCAGAAATAACTAACTGAAAAAAGGCTCTTGCCTTTCTCATGCCACTTTGCAGCACTCATGAAAGCTGGCAAAATGCTCATCAGCCTTACCTAGAGTCCAACATGGCAGCAACAACTTTGCAAAACCCACCTGGGATTACCGTACATCAACCCATTGGTTGAAGACCTATGAAATATACTTTTGCTCCAGCTCACAATAGTAATATATAAAAACCTGTTTCCACATTGGAAACTGGCGTCAGCAAAATTCTCTAGAGGCCAGTGAAGACATGCAACTGAACAGTTCCGCTTCTCCTTTTGCTAACCACAAGCAGGCAGGAAAGATTTGTTTTTGATCTTATGACCGTTTTGTAAAATAAGGGCAGACAGGTTTCACATCTGGGGTCGGGGAGTGGCAGACTGTTCACTTCGTAGAATGCTAGAAGTTTGGAAGCAGTGTTGCTATTCCACACCCGGTTTAAAACAGAACAGCAACGATAGGATAGCATTAAATTGTCTATGTCTGGGAGCAACCACGGTGTTAAGAGGGAACACAACATGTCTGCATATCATGAGCACTGGCTTTTTCTTTTTAGTGGGGAGGGAGGAGAGACACAGGCGGCAATTTAGGTAGATTTGCCTTTGCTGAAATTAGATGTGTATTTCCATACGGGATCTCCGTTGCTGTGTATAATAGTCTCTTTTCAACATAATGATGTGGTGATGATATTAAGTATTTTAGGCTGTAAGCCGAACTCGGAACCTCCATACCTGCAGGGTGCTGTGGAGTAGTGTAGCCACCACCAGATCCACATCCACAACCCGCACACTTACAGTAGCAATGGTGTTACGGGGTGGGAAGGGCAATCAACATCTGTGAGACCAACTCAGGATCTAGCAAAACCTGGGCTGGCTCTGCCTTACCCTTTCTCTACCCTCTGAACACCCCATTTCAACGGTTTCTGCTGGCAGGGATACACCAGTGGGCCTCCTATCTGCACATGCAGCAGGAAGGTGGTTCAATCAGGAGAGCCAAGCAGAGGAGCACCTCCACTTAATCCCAGCGCACCAGTTAGGCATAAATGGGGTTTCAATTAATTGCTCTGCCCCAGTGTAACCCTATGCATGTCTAGTCAGAGTTGTCCCACTGAGAACTACGGAACTTATTCCCAGGAATAAGTGTATATAAGACTGCATCCTCATGCTGTGTACACACTATACTGTTTAAAGCATGTTCAAAGCACATTTCCCCCCTCAAAAAATTCTGCAGACTGAAGTTTGTTAAGAGTTGCTGGGAACTGTAACTCTGCAAGGAGTAAACTGCTTTGGGGTGGGGGGAATGTGCTTTAAAGGTGTGTGTACACAGCCACAGTATTAGTGAAGTTCACTTAAAACACCATTATATCCCATTCCTGTATAAATGTCCTGCTGTTTCCATTCATGCTAGTGTTCGTATTGTACAGTATTGCAAACCTGCACCAGTGACAATATATTCTACAACTAAAGATCAAGCAGGTGATATTTTTTTTTAAAAAAAGATTTTATTAGAGTGCCTTTGTAAGCCACTATCTAGTTATACAAGCTTTTGTGGGGTCTAAAGATCAACAGTCGCTGCCTTGGGTCTACTTTCAGGACATGAAAGCTGTCATGCACCTTTAGTGATGATGACAACAGCAATGAGAACATCTGCCAAGAGTGAGGCTTGATCCAAGTTGTTTCCTCTGTCGCCTAGATATAGCCAGGAGGGGAGATGCTATGAGGACGATCTTTCTTGATTCAAGATACGGGACCCTGGTGAAGTTATGCCTTTGCTTTTGGGGCTACAGTTGAGATCCACGTGAGAGTGGGATGTCATTGAATATATTGAAGACAAAAGTGAGGCTTTCAGCTGGATATTTTGGTTGTGTTTGTTATTAAGCTTATAGCAGGTGTCCTAATATATAGCTTGTACTGTATCATAATACAGAAGCCCATCTACAACATGGAGGTGCTTCTGTGTAGCTGTAATTCGCCCCTCCAGTTTACATAGCAGGGATATATTGTTTGATATAGTGGGCTACACTACAGGACTACCCAAATGCATTTTTCTCTATATATGCACACACACAAAAAGCACGTTGCATTTGGGGAATGCACCTCATCACATTGCAGCCTTGCCCACCCACCCCCAATTTGCAACGGGGGAGGCTAATGACACTGTCTGATCTGAGTCGTAGGTTGTCGCAAGGCACCTTTTCTGAGACCCCATGTGCAATACGGAGTGGGTAATCCTGGACAGTTTATTTCCCTCTTCCTAGCGCGAGCAGAGTTTGCTGAGCGCTGAAAAGCCGAATCTTAAATTTTAAAAAAGCTGAACAAAATACCCGAATGGTATTTCCCCCGCCCCACACACAAGAAGACCTGGGTTTCAGCGAGAATGAACTTCTGTCTCTGCTTCTACTGGGGCGGGGGGTGCGCGTGGGGTGAGCAGGGCAGGATACGGCCAAATCCCTGCAACGGCTTCCTCCGTGGTCTCTCGTGGAGCGGCTCTCTCCGTTTCACCACTCAAACCAGAGGGAGCCGCGGCGTCGAAAGAAACCCGGTAATCTAGGCTGCGGACAGCCAAACTTCGCCTTTTCTCTGTGGCCAGGTTTCATCCTATCATATGCTAATACGTCTACGGTTGAAGCTGCGGAAGGGCGGAAGTTCCTTCGGGGAAGAACCGTCCGGCGAGCCCCGCGATCTTTGGAAGCTGAGTTCCCCCCCTCAAGAACCGCCCTTCTTCTTCTCCCCCGCTGCCCGCGTATGGTCCCGCCGCGTAGCATCCTCTCGGCGCCCAGAGCCCGGGGGGCTTCCTGCTTGCCATGGCGAGCGGCAGCAGCCTGGCGGCGGTAGCTGGCCTCGCAAAAGCTCCCGCCGCTGGAGGCCCCTTCGCGCCCGCCGGCCGCCTGTCGTTCGCCTGCTCCTGGGAGTGCCGAGCGGACCTGGCGGGAGTCCTGCGCCTTGTCCCGGAGGGGGAAGCCGACGCCTGCGAGCCTCTGGGATCCCCGCTGAACGGGTGAGGAAGGCGCCCGAGACCCTGGTGCCGGGGGGGGGGGCACACACGCCCCAGGTCGCGGGCCTTCCTGTTCTCTGGAAGGAGCCCCGGGAGCCGTGGGAAGGAGGCGAGGGGCAGCCGAGACGTGGCCTCGAGGGGCTTGGCGGGGGGCTGCCCCTCTTCCAGACACCCCCCAACCCCCAGAATGACCGCCAAATGCTGAACAAGCATCAAACAACCACAGAGGCTTCCGCGTCGTGACTCAGCGGGCAGGGTGTAGGTGTGTTTTTGCACGAAAAGGATCCCAGGCACATCAGTTCCCGGCGTCAATCCCTGCCTTGGAAACCTTGGAGAGCTCCTGCCCTCCAAGTGCAGACCCGCCGCTGTCAACTTTTTCCACATTGAACCCAAACACATTGCACTTGGGGGACCAGCTTCTTAAATCTTTGGCCGTATAGTTTGCACGGTTGCACTTGGCGCTGTGACCCAATTTGGATCAATTGGAAGACCAGTGGGTGTAGCAGCAGCCTGGCAAGAATACGCTCTTGTCCTCATTCCACTTTTTCAATCCACCCTCCCCCCTCTGGGGTAGCTTTCTTACTTGCTCTAGAACAGTAGTTCCCAACCTTTTTTTTTTGGCCATGCCCCACCTAAGCATCTCTAAAATCCTGGTGTTGTGTCCCCACTCCCCGGTGTGACATATAATTTTTATTATTCAAAAAAAGCTCCTATTCACGTGGAGGAAGCCTAAAAGGCCATTAACTTAGTCTAACTCATTCTTGAATTGTCCCGCCCCTATAAATCAAATTGCCCTCCTGTGGGGTAAGTCCCTTTTATAAGTTAGGTTCCGAAGTCTCAGCTCCATTTTTCCATTCTGGCAACCTTGCAGTGACCCTCCACTACCTAAAACAGGGGTCCCAATTTACCCATGGTACCTTCTGTTATTTTGGTTCAGCAGCTAGGTTTCCAAATCAGGGTAGTAGCCTGCTCTCCGCTGAGAACACAGCCAGGGGCTACAGAGGGAAGAGGTTCTCCCAGCACTGAACTAATCCACTAGGGGTTCAGTGGACAGCACTGGGTTTGATGGGGCCAGTGCTCTGAATAGGTATAAGGCAGTGTCTTGTATAACGTTTATAGGCTCCAAAGCTGAGTAAACCTACTTTACTTTTGAGCACACGGCCAAAGTTGTAGTACAAGCTTTCGTGGATCCAAGTACGAAAGCTTATTTTACAGTGGCAGTGTGATTGTGTACATGCACCAAAGTAAGTATTATTTCACTCAGTGGGGCTTGCCTACAGATAAGTGTTACATAAAACCTCACAAGACCTTTAGTTGTTTTTGCTGCAACCGACTAGCACAGCTAGGCAGAGAACTCCAGTTTCCTCAGAAATAGATTTTTCTTAAAGGTACTGCTCTCTCTCTGCAATGGTTAGCCGCAGCTACCAAAATCATTCTTTTTTTAAACCGTGCCTATTAATGGTAGCACTAATGAATTGCAGCAGCTACAGTGTTGAACTTCAATCTGAATTCAAGTCCTCGTTTCCCAAAGAAGCTCATTAACTGATCTAAAACAATAGTTTCACCAAGCCAACAATGGTCAGATACTCTAGTATCCTATCATTCAGACATAGAAAAAAACTGTATTTGAACAATGTGGCAACAACAGGGGTAGATCCAGTCCTGTGAGGTATGTCACTATTCTCTCATTTATTATACAGATGCAGAGTTTAAGCTATATTGGTGATTATATCTTACCGTGCAATCCTGTGCACATTCATTCAGAAGCAAGTCTTGCTGTAAGTCCCAGTGGAGTTCATTTGCACAGTGCAGTTGGCAACCACAGGTTCTGATCTCAATTTAAAATGCAACACTATTCAACAACTAACACTTGTAAGATGAGTATTTTAAAACACACACGCACACACTGTTATGAGCAGTTTGTCATTAACAAAACTTTACTGTTTAGTTACTGGAACTGTCAGTGCTTTGGCTAAATGTATAATTCTAGATGGACTTTCCCACCTTCTAGTGAGAATGTTGTGGTTCTTGAAGGACGATTACACAATGACAACGTCGCTCCATGCTTACTGTACTTGCACTGTGACCCCCACGGTTCAGAAGAAATTACTGGTCTTGGCATTGTCAGTGAGGCCCGGAACATGGAAGTCTACGTTGGTGACGAGTACTGTGGAACTGGCAGAGGAGCGAAAGTCTTTACTGGCCAACATGACAGGTCAGTTGTTTTCTCCTTTTTTTCTCCAGGTTGCTGACATGTTAGTTTTATGTGGCACACTGAAAGGAAAGAACTATATGCATTCCACTTCACAAAAAACTTTTCTATCTAATCACCTGGAGGCAGCTCCCATGCAGCATAAGGCCAGCGTACTCATTTCTTACAAGAGAATCAATTTTAAAATTGCATTTTTTTGAAAACTCAGGCATGACATTTCAAGGAACTGTGGATATATAGGAAGTTTCTTTTAAAGAATGGATGGGGAAACTGTTGTTGGACTCTCAACTCCCACCAGCCCTAGCCAACATGACCAGTGGTCATTGATGATAGGAGTTGTAGTCTAGTAACCTCTGGAGGGCCACAGGTTCTCCACCCAAGTTTTAAAGCAAACGAGAGAGTTTTCATTTAAAAGAAAAACACCCAGTGTGAGATGGAAGATTTGGATATTACATAAAGCATGCTGTCACACTGCATAACCACACTGCATTTTGTTGTTTCTACTTTTTTTTACCAACTTATGCATTGATATTGCCATGCAGACTGCTTTCTGCCAGTGCATTGAAATGCAAAGCAACATTTGGGATGCTGGTTGGGAGCTACTGTTAAAAGAAGTTTCTCCCCTGAAGAAAAAGTGTCTGCATCTGACTCACTGAAGGGAGGAGGATAGAGGGTGAGAGGTTAGCAATGAGTCACTCTGTGGATAGAGCAACCAGCATCATGCCGCAAAAGAAAGAAAAGGCTATTGATAGGTAAAACTGTAGGTGTACTGGATGAAGCTGATCCTCCAACTACATGCGTTTCAAGACGTTTATATGGGAATGACATTGGGACCAGAGCCTTTATTATGCTTGTGGCCCTATGGGGCATAGTGGCCTCCTTACCCCAGCAGTGGAGCATATGCCCACACTGCCCAGGGGGTGGTGTGGTGTGTGGCGTGCGCCCCCAAAGGGGCCGGGGGCTGGAGGGCACCCTCCTGGGCATCACAGTCCGAGGGGGGCAGGGAAGCTGCCACCAACTCCCCTCCTGCTCTTGACCACCAGGTCGGGCCTGACCCGACGGCAGAGCTGCTGCGGCCGAGGAGGGTAGGCGGCATCATTACTGCCCACTCTCCTGCTCTCCTCCCCCAGGTTAGGTCTGACCCAGGGGCGGAGCTGTGCCCAGGCATGAGCGCTGCGGCCAAGGTGCAGCTCCTTCTTGCTCAGAGCCAGGCTCCGATGAAGGAGCCTGCTTTGGGGGCGCCTGTCTGTGCCCACTGTGGACCCCCCTCTCCGCTACACCTCTGCCTTACCCTAAGTGTCAAGACACCCTCTGGACCAGCATGATTGCATATGGGGCGAGGGGATGCCACTGAAAGGACCCAATTCGTGCATCTATGGAAGCCACACTTGTATATGTGGTTCTCCGAATCATAGTCTTGATACATACATTTTTATACATTACTATGTTTAAATCATATTTGGACCCATCAAACCACTCAAAATATATCAAAGTTGTCGATATTTTCAGTCATTATTTTCTTTTCTTTTCCTGGGCATCAGTGTAAGCAGTACCTTGAAAAACAGCAGTAGGCTAATCTGTGTTGTGCTTCTTGTGAAAAGCTGTTGCATAAAACTTCATGTTGTTGTACAGAATTCCCACAGCTTGTATTTCTTTTTTATTTTCTAGCAAAAATGACCAGGTTTCATTATACCAAAAGTCACTTAAATTGGAGTGCTCCGCAGCCTCTTGTAAGATTAAGGTAGGAAGTTACAGAAATTATTTCTTAAATTGTGGTTATCAATCTTATTTATTCAAAAAGGCAGCACCAATACAGTGCCATGCTCTGTGTTTTGAGTACTGAAATAAAAGGAGGAAATATGATTCCTTTCAAAGAGCAATGAGAGTCTTGTCAGACCTAGTGTTGGCAACTGATGTGATCAGGAATCTCCTGGATGCCTTGCATTGACAAAGGGACCAGTAATCAATTTGAGCTGATGCTGGACCTTAAACAAGGAGCCTGTAGCAGGAAGCACACTGAGATTCTTACTTTACTGTGGAAATTTCTGGGAGAGAATTGAGAGGGGGAAAGACCCACCTAGGCCAGTCCAGTTCTGCAGCAATATCCCAGCCATCAAGTATCTGTGTGATGAAGAGGGGGAAGAGGTGACCTACCCTGGCCTGCCAAAAGAAAAAACTAGCCCTCCATCATGGTGTTCCCTAGACAGCAACTCCATAATAATCACCGTTCAAAAAGTTTTTTCCCCTAGACCAAGTTTACTGTTTCTAATCCATAATATTTTGTAGAGATAAATGACTATTTAACTATTTCATCAGTTCACTCCTGTCTGTCCCCCTCCACCGTCCAGCTGCTGTCCATCCCTGAAAAACAAAGGGTCCTCATCAGTAAAATCATAGTGCAAGTCAAGCCGGTCTGTATGAACCCTGTGCCAGACATTGCTGCGCTAGGATCAGGAATAGACTTGGGCAAAGTACAAACAATCGTGGAATCTATGGGATCCAAATTATCACCTGGGGCTCAGCAACTCCTGGATATGGTTGTATTTCAACAGAAGGTAAGTTATTATCCTTTATTCGAAGCTATAGATGAAATGACCATTGTCAGTGGTGAATGAGGTGGAGAACGGACATGGGTTCCCTGTGAGGGATGTATGGCATTTGTGTACTGAGACAAATCGTATGAATGCACTTAGTGGGATTTCAGCCAATAAGGGCTGATATTCCCACTGCTTGGAGCGAGGGCAAGATTTGCCTTCTAGATTTCAGCTGTAGAACTAAGCTAGAATAGACAACAACATAGGCAGCCCTTATGTAACCTGCCAGACAAACAGAACAAACTCCTTATGCTGGACTGGGGAGAGGAGATGTGGGGTTAGGCAAGGTGTCTGTCTATGCCCAGCTCTCCCAGCTCCATCCACCTCCCACCTCCCACCAATGAAGTGATGCAAGGGGCATTCAGTTGGCACCAACCTCTCTCCCCCCCCCCCCAGAACATGTGGACGGGAGGGCCACTGGCAGGTAGCAGTGGAAAGCCCCTAAAGGATGCATTCCAAGGATGAAGATGGGGTAGGATTGTGTTGGGGCAAGATCCCGTTGCTGTCATACAAAAGCATCAGACTTGTCCTGTCCCACCTTCTGCCATCTCTGCCATGAGCAGTAGGGGCATGGATGTGATGGCGGCTCTGCAAAGCCTCTTCACTGTGTGCGGTTGGGGGTTGGATTGCACCCTAATGGATTTTATCACTGTGATGTTAATAAGAGATAGGCAGTTCTTTAAAGCACCTCTAAGATCCTTTGGCAAGTAGGCAGTGAAGAGAAGATGAGTGAAAATACTATGGATATCCAGTTGTGGTAGCTTGATTGTATGATAGAAATGCAGTTGTGCAATGGGTCTTCTGGTTTCTCTTTCACCTCCTCCGGTCCCCCATACACCCCCAAAATCCACTCTGAAATGTCCCCTAGCCTACTGGAGCAGAGTTTGGTGGTGCACAGGGGAACAAGGAAGGAAAAAAACCTTTTGCACGAGTGGATGCCTTTTCACGCTATGTTGAATTGCACCTTATATAGTTTCCTCTCTCTGCTGCCCTCTTCCTTTGCTCTGATTTCCAGGCAATTTTCTTCTTCATTTATTGTACTACAGTAGAGGCTCCTAATGCAGTTGGTTGTCTCCCCATTCCAATTGTTGTGTTGTATACAAAATCATATTCACTATACATTTCTGTAAGCAATATTAATTGGTACCCAAGGTGAACAGGAACCAACAAGGAGAGCGGGGTGCAATTTGGGAGCAGAAGGTGGTAGATATGTGATCAGAAAAGAACAAATGCTCTTCCAGGCTGAGAGGGTGATAAAACAGCAAGAGAAGTAGTCCCCAACCTCACGTTGCCTGTTCGAAACGAACAAGTCCAGAGCAATGTCTGATGGATAGGGCTGCATGTATTGGTTTGTTTGGGCTTCACATTTAACTTGTTAACATTCTATTTCTATTAGAATGGTCTTCCATTTGGAGGCAAGTTACAAAATGTCTTTGGGAAAAACGGATTTGGGTTTGAAAACAATCATACCATTGATGGATTGAAAAAGGTAGTTGATATTGGAAGATTAGACCACTTGCCCAATGGGCCATCTCTTCCAAGAGCTCATGCAGCAGCTGCAATGGCTATAGAAGAATTAAAGAGGCACGCCGATATGAACAAACAGATTCCTAATGCAGAAAATGTATGTGAGACTCCAGGACTTCAGGCTCCACAGCCCAGCTCTGTACTTTCTCAGAATGACTTCAAAGGTTTGGTCTCAACCTTTTTGCAAGAGCAAGGAAGTGAAAACCCAAACGCGCACAACTCCATGCTGCTGCTCCCACTCCTTCAAACGGTATGCGGTCAAGTAAATCGGTTACGAATAGATGAAAGGAATAAGCACTGTGAGAACAGATCCGCATCTGAGGAGGATGGGATTCAGACTTTTGGGTGAGTCCTGACTGCGGAACTTCGCAAACTACTTTTACTTTGGCAATTTCCCTAGTGGCCAGAGGGAGGGAGGGAGGGAGGGGGCAGTTGGGATCCAGGTCACCAGTAAATAAAAGCGGGTAGTACTGAATAGTATCGGGAGTATTAGTTCAGGAGTCCCATTGATGGGACAGAAGCAGCTGAGCTGGAGGGGACTCTCCTTAACCTGGGAGTTCCAGTTTCCCCCTTCAGCTGGGGGGATCTTCTGTCCTTTAGAGGCATTGCTGCGTTGGAGGGTTGCGATTCTAACTCCGCAGTTTCCTGGGAGTAAGCCCCAATTCATTCAGTGGGACTTGCCTCTGAGTAGACCATTCCTTGGAGGCTTTGCTTTTGGGGTTGAGGGTGCTCGGTGTTGAGGGTGAGAAGAGAAGAGAATTTGGGTGGGCATTTCGCCACACCAGTTTCCATTGCAGTGAACCAATGCTCTGTAGGAATCTTTTATCTTTGCTCCAGGGGCTTAGAAAGGGAACCAGGGGTGTGTGGATGTGAAGAGAGGGTGGTTTTTACTTGTACAGCTCTCTTTGTCTGACGTGCACAGGTAGGACGCCTCTACCCCTAACACAGAACAAGGCAGAAGATGACTGAGGCACTGAAATTAAGGACTGTGACACTAAAGACTGCTGGGGTTGAGGGTGCATGTCATAATTTGGATGCTAACTAAAGCTGTGTGCATCTAGTAAACTAGCCCAGTAGGTAGAGGGGAAAAACCTGTTGCCCTGCTGTGCTAGTCAACTAATTGAAGGGACACAGTTTTGATTTTAAGCACATCCTGAGTGGAGTCTGTATAGTACGGTCCACATTTATTCAGGCTGTTTACTCCCTAAGGTGTGGAGCTGCTGTAGTTGTTGTGCTGTCAGAGTAGGCCTTTTCAGGTAGAAACTCAGCAAAAAGAGCAAGAGGGCTCCCAGAGATCGGAGAGACAGTGTACTTCCAACTAGGGTGACACACATTGGCTTCTAAAGGGTGTTTGTAGAAAGTTAAGAACATTGCCACTAGCAATATATCACAGCTTATATAGCCTATATTTAGTAAGGGTATTTAAAATGAGAGTTGTCATAGTGATTTGTAGGTAAAAGTAGAAGATGGCAAATGTCTCCTCTTTTTTGCTATTCAAAATATGGCAACCGTATACTTAGAGTGAAAAGATGAATAGTTATAATTTCTAAGTTTGCGTTGTTAACTGAATTAAATCATATTAATTCATTATAGAATTAAATCATATTAGGTGTTCAGTAACATAGACCAGAAACGCACTGACTCAGTGCCTTGCCTTCTGTTGAGGCATTTTAATTTCATGTAGTTAATATGCACAGTCAGTTATATTTTGGGCTGGAGTAAATTATTTCTTGTGTGTCCATTTACTGCAGCTTGGAACAGCAGTCTGTTTTTCTGCACATGGAAAAGGTCATCGCCAGAAACATGGAACTGATGGAGAAGAGATTGATGGACCATATTGATCTGCGTATGCAGAAACTTCAGGAACATCTAGATCATAAAGTTGCTGCGCTGTTTGATTTGGTTCAGAATTCCAATAATGTTTCAAAAGAACATGATTCTGAAGAATGCTCAGATGGGAAGAGGTAAGCAGTCTTTGGGACATGGGAGGCTTCAATGTAAGTGTTTTCCAAGGGCAACTATTTATTTTGCAAGCTTTTCAAAACTATGTGTATAAGCTTGTAAATACTTGAGACCTCAGTATTTGTACTTGTTACTGTAATTTCCCCAAGTATTGTACACTAATGTTAGTGTTTGTATATCTGTAACTTGCAAAAAACAACAACCCAATATTTTTTTCGGTTCAGAGATCTTTTCTATATTTACTTAGGACTTATTTATTCATAAACATTTCAAAAAAGTAACTGTTTTTGGGTGTTTGCTCCTCTTTCATTGAACTAAAGAATAGTTCTCCAAATAAAGTAGTTTGCAGGTTTAACTGTGGTGTCTTATGTCCTACTGTAGACAAGAATTAAATCAATTCCGTTTTCAGGCAACGACCAATTTACACACTTTCCAATTGACATATGGCTGCACCTGCATACATTGCAGTGAGCTGGAAGGGACCAGAACGGGGGGCGTGGGCATAAGAGGGTGGAGCAGTCTTAGGTGTCCTCTGCTGTCATGCACGATGACCTGGAACACAACCCCCCTGCAACTTGGGGGTTGCCTGTATTCATTTATTTACATATATGAAGAGCCTTATTTTTTGAAAAGTGCAGATGTGTTCAATGTAGGGGTGGGTGTTTTATCTTGGCTTGTCTGCCACACTGATTCCTAGATGGTTCTTCTAAGGTCTGTTCCATTTCTTATCCATCATTCACTCATCCCTTTGGCTGGTTCTGCAATGTGCCATACATGTTTGAGCACGCTGTTCCAGAATTAGAATTGCACATAAGGTGATATGAATTTCTCTGGTCTTGCAACAGGAGCCAGCACAATTTCTAACAGTATAAGGTGCTTGGTCCTTTTGTGTTTTTGTCACATTAATTCACATTCTGCTTAGAAAACCAAGTAGAAACAGATAGCTTGAGTGCTTGTACATCTGCGTAAATGCCCAAGTTGAAATCGTGGATCCTAAGAAGTGAAGAAAAAATATCTCCCATCCCCATCTCCCCTATAGCCTCTTGCACACCCCTGAAAAGCCACTCCAAAGCCTCCTTCTGAACAAAATGGGGTGGGGCACATGTGGCTGCTGGGGGGATGAGGGAACCTGAGATTTTCCTGCAGTGAAATTCCTTTATGGCAAGTTAGATGAAGATTAATGTCTGATTTGGGGCAGTTCTCCCCCACTCCCTCAGATGTCCCCAACACCCCATCCCCTTCTGACTCCCAGAGAAGCTCTTTGTGGAGGTGTGCAGGTGGATGCAGAGGAGAGGAGAATCTAGGAAACTTCCTTGAGCTAACATACCTTAAAATTCTAGTCAATAGTATATTTTGCAGTTTCTCACCCATTTATCCTTCCCAAATAAGTTTAATTTCCCTTAAACCCAGTGGTGGACAACATCTTTGTGATGTTTTTATAGGCTATACTTAACCTCTCCCCCCTTTTCCATACATCACATTTTAGAGATAAGGTTGATGAAAACACAAATCTTCCAGTGCGTCTACATAAACTTAGGGTTCAAACTGAAGCAGGGAACGGGAGTGCTCTGTTAAGGGCTCTGCAACTTCTGGTATCTGTATCCTGGTTCTCGAGTGAACAAACGCTTCGCTGCCAGACCAGCCAGGAGGACAGCATTTGCAGCCAGCACAACAAACGTAAGGGTATACAGGCTCTTGGGTGGTGTATTCTGGCTTTCCTCTGGATGAACTTGAATAGAAGAATCTGAATGTAAAAAGCAGAAAACAAATGGAGAGTAAAATGTAGTTCAAAAATTTATTACCTCTATACCAGCATGTCCATGTACACACCCACCCACAAACCTGTATAATCATTGGGAAAATATCCCTTTCGCTTTCATTCATTTGCTAGATCGAGTGAGAGATTGTTGAGGACACTGGTTTCCTGCAATTTGATGGCGATGCACTCTTCATCAGGACTGTTATAAATGTTCATTTTCCATGTCCCTCTTCCCTTCCAGTTTCCCTTTTGTGTCATGTCTTTTACATTGTAACCATGCAAGGAGGGGCTGTCTTGTTTTATTTAACTGATTGCATATTAGCCAGCATGGGATGCTTTTCAGCTGAAGAATGGCACATAAAGGCTCACAATAACAAATGAGTAAATAAATCAGTGTTGGGGGACCTTTGGTCCTCTAGGTGCTGTTGGATCCAAACCCTTTCAGCTCCAACCCACATCGCCAATGGGATGAAGAGAGTTTGACTCCCAACAACTTGTAGAGAGCCATGGGTTCCCCATCGTTTCTTTTACTGATAGTGTTTTAAGAACAGGGATATATGTGTATATAAGATCACCCAAAGAAGCACCAGAAGGCAGTCTTCTTCTTGCAATATACACACCTGAGCGATCCATAGAGCTGAGATCTCTCTTCAGGATGATAGGTCCCACTGCAGCCTCCCCTTTCCATGTGTAGGAAGAAAGCTCTCTCTTATGTCGAGGGAGACAACCTTCAGTGCAGCGAGAATCAGGATCCTTGCTGTCACAAATCAAAACTTCGCAGCGGAGGTAAACAGATGGCTGATAGCGTAGGAACCTGAAGGAACTGAACCGGAATCTCCCATAATGTTCAAGGACCGGATAAGCCACGTAAGTGTCGTCTTCTGCGCATCTGCAATAGAACGTCCACATCACTTTATACTGATCAGCAGTCGCTTGGCCCTGTTTGCAGTAATATTAGATGTTTACCAGATAGGAAGTTGGTGGACTAATGTATTAAGTGAAGAAAATGTGGAAAACAAATTACTCTGTGAATCTGACACAGGACTACCTTGCCGTCGGCCTTACAGAAATAGCCAATTGAACAGAGGTTTGGCCTAGTGGCCTGCATTTTTTTTGCAATTGTATCTGTTTTAATTATTGTATTTTGAATTGTTTTCACCTGCCTGGAACCTTAAGGTTAAGGGTGGGTAATAGTATCTTGAATTATTCACCACCACCATCATCATAGCATCAGTATTGGGCAGTATAAAGAGATTAGCTATAAGAACACAGTCCGTAATAGAATACTCCCCACCTATTCGTAGATAATTTTATTATTGCTATTATTATTTATTAGATTTATACTCCGCACCTTCTTCCAAAGGAGCCCAGCATGGCATACGCAGTGATACTAAGGCAACTGAAACTTCTTTAAAAAGAGTTTAAAACAATATACTAAAACAGTTTAATACTGCTAAAAGCACTCACCTACTCTCAAACTAATGATTTCAAGGTTGCAAGGGTCCAAAGCCTAGGTAAACAGGAACACTATAAAAATTTCCCTAAAAGTTAATCACGACAGCAACGGACGCCCCTCACTAAGGAGTACATTCCGCAAATGTTTACAAATGCTTTCCTTCACCACACTTCCTGTTCCCTGAGTCTCAGTCTTCTGGGCTGTATTTTAGCCATGATAAGCTACATAAATATATGTGCTTCTGATACTTGAGTCTCATTTTACACTACAGTTTTTGTGATACTTCAAAAATGTACAGTTTTGCGTGCACACACCGTATTTTCGTTCTTTTCTCATTGGTTTACTGCTATGCAGGCTCCTTTAGTCTCAAATTAGTCCCATTTGTTTTCTTGTCCCACCCACATTCTCCAAACCTTCTGACATGCTGCTCCCTATGGCAAAAAAACCCCACTTATCTCCTCTGTTCATCAAACTGTTCATCAAACTCTTCCACTGCCAACTTACAATCTCCACTATCCCTTAGTTTTCTTTAAGGGTAGAAATTGTGTCACTTCTTCACATTTGAATCCACCAAGAAGCACTTTAATTGTAAATGACAACCATACTGAACAGTTATAACGGCACTCACCCGCTTTTGACCAATTCATATTTTGGTGATGTAGAATCAAGGTTTGGTGACGCAGTGCAGGTATCCACAAACACTAACAGATTGGCATCACTGGAATGCAGACTGACTTGTGCATAGAGTGTTTGGTTCAAGTCCACGAAGTATGGCGAATCAAGCATTTGGGAGAAAGAATCGGAATCGTAGAAGGCCATGCTGAGATTGAATCTACCTAAAGCACTTTCATCATCATTTTCTACATTTTTTGTTTCATACATGACTTCTACAGTTGAATTGTTTTCCATTATACACCTCACAATGAGGTCAACCTGTTTGTGGCGGGTAATCACATTGCCATTTGGGGAAGCAGTGATCGTGTTGGTGTAAGTGATCGTGTGGTTTTCTCCCTGTGTAAGACAGAAACAAAACATTACCCACTTTCCTTTTGGGGAAGAAAGGATATTACAGTGAAGAAGAGAACGCAGTGGGTCTTGGCTCAAGTTTTGGAATATAAAAACAACAACAAAGTCATCACATGCTAGCGTTATTCAGGCACATCTTTAAATGATTACAGAATGGCCCAGCCTTTTGAGTTCAGCCTCCCAGGTATTTAGCAGTTTCTCCACTGGAAGACAGTGAAGGTCTCTTGAAAAGGAAAGAAAAAAGGTGTTTGAATGCTGTTAAAAAGAATAAAAGTTCATTTAATTTGTTTGATGAAGTTCTCAATGAAAGGTATTTCCACAGTACATCAGTTACACTATGATCCAAATGTTTGTATGTGGTAGCTAATCTGTACTCTATGTTTTGGGGTCAGCATAAGATAAGGAGGTAGAGGAGAGGAGAGGAGACACACCAGCACTTGCCACAGTATTGATAATCTGTTATTCACTTTTTATGCTTTCTATGCTCTGGTGTGCACGTGTCATTATAAGGAATGCAACCCACAGTCCTGGAAAAGAAAAAGGACGTGTGTCCTGGGGGACATTTACTTCTGAGGAAACGAGTGGTGGATTGGACTGCCCTCTGTCAAGTCCATGGAGCTCATTTCATAATGCATGCCTATTCAGGAACAAGCTCCTCTGAATTCCCTGGGACTTACTCCTATTATGCAAGTGTGTCTAGGATTGCAGTTTTAAATGTCTAATATTGGGATCATGAACCCAGGGATGTGAACCTTAAGTCCCATTCATTTCAGTGAATCTTACTGAAGATATTCCAGCAGAATCCTACATATACCAAAGAAAAAGGAGCAAATCTTAGCCTGGTTTGTTCTGTGACATTTATGTTTCTGAGATACTTCTGTGGTGTCCTTCATGATATACTTTCTTATAGCCACCTCCCTGATTCTGATGGTGCTGATTTTCCCCAAGCAATCCCAACCAAGTGGAGAAAAAATGTTAAGATAAGTTCAAAATTTGTCTGGGTAGCTTAGGCATAAGTGCCTCTGGCAGCTTTTGTGTAGGTAGATAAGAATGGGCTGGAACAGGACAGACTTGGGTCCAGTCCTTGTAAGCTAGATCGTCAGGAGGCAAGCAA